AGGGAGCCCAACCTGGGACTCAATCCCAGGTCTCCTGGATCAGGCCTGGGCTGAAGGCGGGGCTAAACAGCAGAGCCCCTGGGGCTGCCCAGGTCTCCATCCTTTTACCTGTGTTGGAGACCCCAAGGCCACCAGTGGTGACCAAAGGGCAGGTTCAGAGTGCTGGATTGCCAGTCCTTATGTGCACTCTCCAGATGAATCTTAGGCTAGCAGGGAATCCTGTTTGTTTGTTTGTTTTTTGTATATTTTTATAATTGTAGTTTGATATGCCAACATGTAGCATAACACCCAGTGCTCCTCCTATCAAGTGCCCCCCTCAGCGCTCATCACCCAGTCACCCTGTTCCCCCACCCACCTCCCCTTCCACTACCGCTTGTTCATTTCCCAGAGTTAAGAGTTTCTCATGTGCTGGCAACTTCTCTGATATTTCCCACTCGTTTTCTCTTCCTTCCCCCTATAATCGCTTTCACTATTTTTTATAGTCCCCAAATGAATGAGACCATATAATGATTGTCTTTCTCCGATGGACTTCACTCAGCATAATTAATACTCTCCAGTTCTATCCACATCGAAGCCAATGGTGGATATTCATCGTTTCTAATGGCTGAGTAATATTGCATTGTATGTATAGACCACATCTTCTTTATCCATCCATCTTTCGATGGACACCCAGGTGCAGGTGTCCCGCCGTTTCCCTGCATCTGTATCATTGGGGTAAATCCCCAGCACTGCAATTGCTGGGTCGTAGGGCCGATCTATTTTTAACTCTTTGAGGAACCTCCACACAGTTTTCCGGAGTGGCTGTACCAGTTCACATTCCCACCAACAGGGCAAGAGGGTCCCACTTTCTCCACGTCCTCTCCCACATTTGATGTTTCCTGTCCTGTTAATTGTCACCATTCTCACTGGTGTGAGGTGGTATTTCATTGTGTGTGTGTGTGTGTGTGTGTTTTAAGATTTTATTCATTTATTCATGACAGAGAGAGAGAGGGTATCACACAGGCAGAGGGAGAAGCAGGCTCTATGCCAGAACCCGACATTGGGACTCCATCCTGGGTCTCCAGGATCACACCCTGGGCAGAGGTGGCGCTAAACCGCTGAGGCACTGGGGCTGTCCTCATTGTGGTTTTGGGGTTTTTTTGTTTTTTTGTTTTGTTTTGTTTTGTTTTTTTCATTGTGGTTTTGATTTGTATTTCCCTGATGGCCAGTGATGTGGAGCATTTTCTCATGTGCTGTTAGCCATGCCTGTGTCTTCCTCTGTTAGATTTCTGTTCATGTCTTTTGCCCATTTCATGATTGGATTGTTTTTTTCTTTGGTGTTGAGTTTAAGAAGTTCTTTATAGATTTTGGATACTAGCCCTTTATCTGATACGTCATTTGCAAATATCTTCTCCCACTCCGCAGGTTGTCTTTTAGTTCTGTTGTTTCTTTTGCTGTGCAGAAGGTTTTTATCTTGATGAAGTCCCAATAGTTCATTTTGCCTTTTGTTTCCCTTGCCTTCATAGATGTATCTTACAAGAAGTTGCCGTGGCCAAGTTCAAAAAAGGTGTTGTGTTGCCTGTGTTCTCCTCTAGGATTTTGATAGAATCTTGTCTCACATTTAGATCTTTCATCCATTTTGAGTTCATCTTTGTGTGTGGTGTAAGAGAATGGTCTAATTTCATTCTTCTGCACGTGGCTGTCCAATTTTCCCAGCACCGTTGGTTGAATAGACTGTCCTTTTTCCAGTGGATTGTCTTTCCTGCTTTGTTGAATATTAGTTGACCCTAGAGTTGAGGGACCATTTCTGGATCCTCTATTCTGTTCCATTGATCTATGTGTCGTCTTTGTGCTGGTACCACATGTCTTGATGATCACAGCTTGGTAGTACAACCTGCAATCTGGCATTGTGATGCCCCCAGCTCTGGTTTTCTTTTTCAATATTCCCCTAGTTATTTGGGGTCTTTTCTGATTCCACACAAATGTTAAGATGATTTGTGCCAACTCTCTCAAGAAAGTCCATGATATTTTGATAGGGATTTCATTAAATGTGCCAATTGCCCTGGGTAGCATTGACATTTTCACAATATTAATTCTTCCAATCCATGAGCATGGAATCCTATAAATGACCTTATGTTCCTGGGCTCTCCTACAGGAGACCTCATCCTTTGGTCACATAAATTCACTTGCATCCCTTGCCCCATGGTGCCTGATGAGTCAGGCCGATCATGATTGTTGTGCCCAAGATTGCGAATCCGAGAAACCACCAAGGAGCCAACACCCATGCAAGTACACGAGGGTTTATTTACAAGTTCGAGCGTGGGTCCAAGTATACTCCACACAGCAGAGCAGGGGCTTGGACCCCGAAGTGGGTTACAGCTGGGTTTTTCATGCGCTGGTCTAGGGGATTTTCAGAAGGGGTGGAGGAATGTTTTTTTCCCATTCCAATATGGGGGGATAGGGTGGGGGAGTTTTTTAAGATCTGATAAGGGATTCTCTGAGCTCTGTAGTCTTTCTGATATGGGATTCCCTGCTCAGAGCATTCTGAGCTTTGTTGTTTTTCTGATATGGGACTTCCTGCCAAGGGCATTCTGAGCTTTGTTCTCATTCTAATATGGGGCTTAACTGAAGGAAGGTAAAGTTCAGCTCTTCTTCACAGGGCCTGAGATGGCTATATTTGTGCTAATGCTGAACTTGAGGTGGAATGGCCTTAATTTTCCCGGCCTCCATAATGATCAGTTGCAGTTGAGTTTCCTGCCTCACCCTTGCTTCTTTCTGTTCCAGTACCTGGGGCCCCGTTTGCAAGCATGACCCCACAATAAGCGAAGGCCCTCAGGCGGGGGGGAAAGCCAATGCAAGAAAGCCAGAAAACAGAAAGTGGAGCTGGTTAGGCTTAGGCCAACATTCCCTTCCTTTAGGGAAGGGGGATTGACCAAACCTTTCTTCAGAAGCCTGTCAACCTGAGTCTTTAAGACCAGCAGCCTCGCTATCTGCCTTTAACTGGCTGACAAGTACCTGGTTTTGCTTTTTGTTACAAGAAGAGGTTACCAAAGGGAGAGATGTCACCCAGGAAAGAAAGGATAGAATCCACATTTACTCACCCTTTAAGGGGAGTGGCCCCAGGTTTGGGCACCAAAATGATACAGGAGTGCTTGGTTCTTGTCTCAAGGAGTCAAGGAATGAATCTAGAACAGACGACACGAGTGAGCAAAGTGATAGAAGTTTATTAAGCAGACATGGAGAGAAAGTTCTCAGAATTTAGACAGCCCCCCGTGACAGGGGTGCCACTGAGGGCTTTTTATGGTTTTTTATAGGAAACTGCTCAGGGAACTTGGTAAATCTGTTGTCAGTATCTGGATGGATATTTAGAACAAAAGTGGTGGATTTGTAACTATCGTAATAACAAGATGTTCTTATAAATATCATGAACCCAAACAAGGTGCTCCTTTGTCTCTGGTTGATACCTCCTCCATAATATTTCTCTACATCTGGGATATCTGTGAGCCTGGTCAGGTAGCCCATGAGCTTGTGATTCTTGTGCTGTCTTGGATTGAGCAGGGACTATATTGAAAACATCTTAATGACCTATTTCTTTTTAGTCTGGTGAGTTTCTGTGATTACTTAGTAGTCATTCAAGGGGGGATAGTCCCTAGCATTTCGGAGTTAGGGAGCCACGTTTATTTCTTCTGTTTTTGCTGTCTTATGTCTGTTTTCTTGGGATGGGTAGGAGCCTGACTCTGGGGCCTTTCCTTGATCTCTCCCTGCTTAGGCCCCCATCTGCCACTAATTTGTTCCTATATCAATTCCATGGAGGTCAATTTGCAAATAACAGCATCAATAAAATTGAGTAAAATTTGTAAATAGGGAATATGTTGTCTTTGAGAACCCAAAAAGAGGAAAAGATTTTCGACTTCTGTGCTGAGAAGGTTAACAACTGTTTCTTGAGAGTGTCAGGGACAGTTTACCAAATAATTTCCAGGATTTTTAACGGATGTGCTGGGACATTGCATTGTGTATGGAACATTGGCGACCCATGCTCCTTTTGTGAGCTCTAGGATTCATATCTTCATAATGAGCATGTCAGATGACTCTCCTTGGAGGAGGTATGTCATCAATATAATGTCATACCTGTGCGTCTCAAGAAAGTTGGGTCCAGTTAAGGGCTTGCCCTCAAAGATTATATGTGATGGATCCCAAAGCTGTTGAGGTACCCATGAGGTACCCCCATGGTAAAGGTGTATTGTGTCCCTTGGGAGGTGAAGACAAACTATGGCTGAGAGGCATTGAAATAGACAACGAACAGAACATATTAGCCAAATCTGTAATCACAGAATATTTCTTTGTTACTGTTGGGATGGACTTGGAAATTTCAATAATGTTTGGTACTGGGGCCTTAGGGAATGGGACCTCAGAATTAAGGTTGCAGTAGTCCACCATGAGGTACCTGCCTTCTTTCCAAGTTTATTAACAGGCAAAGTTTAATAGGCAAATTTAGATTTTTAAATGGAGCAGTAGAAGGGATAATCACTTCTTCAATCATTAGGTTTTCCCAAAGTTTCAATCGTTGAAGGAAGGCGTAATATAAGCCTTGAACCTACAACCCTGAGAACAAGACCTGAGCTGAGATCAACAGTTGGACACTTAACTGACTGAGCCACCCAGGTGCCCAAAGGAAGTCCTATTTTATTTTTAATTTTTATTTTACACTGGGCTTTATTAACTGTTTTAATAGATGAGGGACATCCATGGGGATTCACTTTTGTCAAGCCAATTTGTTACTACCAAGGTGTTTTTTTGTTATTATTTTCAAGGTAAGCTCGATGCCCAGCATCAGGCCCGAACTCACGACCCTGAGATCAAGAGTCACATGCTCTACTAAGTGAGCCAGCCAGGTGCCCCTGTAATTACCAAAGTCTTTTTTTTTTTTTTTTAAGATTTTTAAAATTTATTTATTCATGACAGACACAGAGAGAGAGAGAGAGAGAGAGAGAGAGAGAGGCAGAGACACAGGCAGAGGGAGAAGCAGGCTCCATGCAGGGAGCCCGATGTGTGACTCCATCCCAGGTCTCCAGGATCATGCCCTGGGTCCAAGGCGGTGCTAAACCACTGAGCCACCGGGCTGCCCCCAAAGTCTTAATTTTAATTTATTACCCACTTGGGCAGAGCTTTCTCACCCAATGTGGGATACTTTGGGGCAATGGGTGCTATGACTGTGAAGATTTAGGCAGGACAGTAATAGTTTGGATGATTAAAGTAAAACTTACCTATTTGCCCTCCACTTTATATTCAGTAACTCTACTAAAGGGTTATAAGGAGTACCTTGGCTAAATTTTAGGGATCTCCAGATACAACTATAATTTGAGCCTCAGGATTAAGGCTGTGAAGCTTTACCAACTGGCACATTTAAGGCAAATAGTAAAGAATCTAAAAACAAAACAAAAAAAGAATCTGTGTTAATAGAGGCACAAAGCCAATGTGTGTCTTTTTGTTATTGTTGTGCCCACGATGTCATATCTGAGAAACCACCCAGGAGCCGACACCAATGCAAGCGCATGAGGGTTTATTTGCAAACTCGAGCTTGGGTCCAAGTATACCCAACAACAGTGGATCAGGGACTTGGACCCCGAGGGTAAGAGGCGTAGCAGTTTTATAGGGGCCGATGGCCAATGGGATTGTAACCCACAGACTTGCACAGTCATGTCGGTCCACACGCAGGTGGCCAATTGAATTACAGTTTACCCTACAGTGACCATTTGAACTAGCCTATCACTCTGGTCAGAATTGGCGCTCGGGTTTGGCGAGCAAAAGGCAGGCTTTACATTTTTTGCGGGTTAGGGGTTCCGCATTCCTGTATGAGCCGGTTTCTGGTAAGGGTGTGCTCAGTGGCTTGACTAGGGTGGGGGAGTGCCTTAAGCAATAAGCAGGTCTTGTGGGGGTCATACATGAGATGGCGGGTGTAGCACAAAATGGAGTTAGTGCTGCGCTGCTTGTCCAGTGGTAGGGGATTTTTGTTAAATTCCTTGGGTCCCACAGTTACTATATGAAATTTTTAGTAGATTTTGAATTTCCAATTGGATCAAATGGTGGATCCTTATTTTAGCTTTGCTTCAGTTCCTCACTGTCAGGTTTCTTTCTTCCTCTAGACACTGGGTATACACTTCAGTGAGTTCTACTTTTCTTCTCATCTGTATAAATTTCTTCCTCCAAAAATTTTCCAATTAGCACCCTCAGGGTTAGGAGCCTCCCTTCTGGTATGATGGCTTTATAGTGCTTAAGGACCCTGGGCTTAAGTTTAGTTTGAGTCAACCCCTTCACTGTGCTACAGGCATGCCATAAGTGTTTTTTTCCCTATAGCCCTGACAATAGGGATCTTTGTTACAACAGAGGAAAAGGTAGCAGAAGGGTGCTGGACTCCTAACCCAATGGTCAATGGATCAAGACCATCCTGTGCTACAATCCTGCTTTTTCTGCCAATGCCACTTTTTCTTCTCCTTTCTCTTTGTACAAAGATTATGTTGGGTTTCTAGCCACATAAAGTCATAGCTTTCAGTTTCTATCTCTGTCCATTCATTCCTACTGCAACCCTTCTGGGTAGTTATGGGAAAAGTTCAGGAACCCAGTGGCCAGGCTCATAGGTGGGTGTCTCTTCCTCAAGAGAAGGCTAGCCAATCTCCCCCAGATTGGAGTTCACATCCAGTAAGGTCATTTTGTCTATGGCATATTTATTACCTAAGCACTTTAACGCTATTAGTTTCTTTCTAAGCACTGCAGTAGCTGTGCCCCACAGCAGGGCTCTTGAACAACACGTTTGAACTGCAAAGGTCCACTTACGCAAGGGTGGATTTTCTCTTTTTGGACAGATACAGTACAATAGTATAAATGTGATTTTTCTTAATGATTTTATTTTCTGTAGCTCTGTTTTAACAATACAGTATATAATACTTGTAACATACCAAATGTGTGTTAATTGACTGTTAGGTTATTAGTAGTTACATTTTGGGAAATCCAAATGTATATGTAGATTTTTGCCTGTGTGAAGGTTTGTTGATGAGACGGTTAAATTTTTCAGCCTCATCCTTAACCTTCTAGGAGGGGAGAGGCATCAGAGATTGAGCTCAATCACCATGGCCACTGATTGAGCCAATCATGCCTGTGTAATGAAACCTCCATAAAACCCCTCAAAACAAGTTCTAGAGAGTTTCTGGTTGGTGGGCACATGGATGTGTCGGTAGGGTGGCACCTGGAGAAGGCACAGAAGTTCTGTGGCACCCACCCTCTACAGTGTCCTATACATCACTTCCCTTTGGCTGTGTCTGAGGTAGATCCTTTATAACCAGTCATTGTAAGTAAAGTGCATTCCTGAGGTGAGTCATAATCATACCTGAGGGGTCAGGGAAGCCCCCACATCTGCAGTTGGCAGAAGCGTAGGTAGCCTGAGCACCCCACCCCCATTCCTATCTGGCATCTGAAGTGGACATAGTCTTGTGGGACTGAGCCATTTAACCTGTGTGGAATGTGATGGTAACTCCAGCTAGACGGTGTCATTGAATTGAATTTTTAGATACCCAGTTAGTGTCAGAATTGGTTGGTGTGGAAAAGAATACATATTTGGTATCAGAGGAAAAAAAACACATTCTTCTCATCTTACTATTTTTAATCTGTTTATTCATTCCATTTTTATATTCCTGTTTTCCCTTTCCTGCTGTCTTTTCCTTTCCTGGGTTCCCTGTTACAGGTGCCACTTGCCCAGGAGGGGGAAGGGGCAGGAGGAGTGAGCTTGCTGAGGTCTCAGGCAACAGAGATGCTGACTTCCGGTTCTCCTGTCTCCCCCAGGACCTTGGAACCCTTCGCCCCATGGTGCCGCACATCATAGGCTATTTTGTTGAGTTCTTCAGACTTTCTGACTCTGTGAGCCTTTTTGATCTGAACAATAGGCTTTTCTTCTCCCTGACAGGTGCTATTCAGTTTCTAGAAAGTACTTCTACCCCTGCCTAAACAAATTTAACAAACATTTTTTAAGGACCTGAGCAATAGGTGGCCATCTCCCCGTGATATGCAGGGAGTGTTAAGTCTGCAGAGACCTGCTTCCAGCACCACTGAAGACAGACGACCCTGCTGTGCGTCCTGTTGGTCTTTGTTGGTGCCACCAATTCTACCTACTGCTCACTTATACATAGATCTCTATCTTAAAGGGTGAATAGAAAAAGAAACTGAGGGACACCTGGGTGGCTCAGTCAGTTAAGTGCCCTCCTCTTGATTTTGGCTCAGGTCATGACCTCAGGGTTGTGAGATCAGATCCTATGTTAGGCACCGAGCTGGGTGTGGTGCCTGCTTGGGATTCTCTGCCTCTCCCTCTCCCTCTGCCCTTTGCCCTCTGGTCATGCTGTCTCTCTCAAAAAAAATAAAAAATAAAATAAAGATTTTTTTTAAAAAGATCAAAACAAACTGAGGGCAGACCCCTCCTATTTGGATTGGTGGAGTTATTTTAAGTTTCATTCCAATCTCCTGATAATGACCAACCCCTGCGTTTTATGGAATATAGGCTGTTTATGGGAGTTGTGAAGTAGGCCACTGTGTAGACAGGCCTCAGCTCCTGTGACATCATGGAATAGCTTGGAACTTTGTTTTTTTTTTTTTAATTTACTTTTTTTAAAATTTTTATTTATTTATGATAGTCACAGATTGAGAGAGAGAGAGGCAGAGACTCAGGCAGAGGGAGAAGCAGGCTCCATGCACTGGGAGCCCGATGTGGGATTCGATCCCGGGTCTCCAGGATCGCGCCCTGGGCCAAAGGCAGGCGCCAAACCCCTGCGCCACCCAGGGATCCCTATCATGGAACTTTGAACCAGGTTTTGGATGCTGTCATTTACCACCTTTGTGCCAGGATCATTTTGAGGTCAGCACATTCCCCTAAAAGGACTGCATAGATCCAGAGCAGCAGGGAACTGCACAGAACAGGATGCAGAAGAAACCAGAAGTAGAACCATGAAAAGACGGGACAATCCGGTGAAAACGATGGACATGTATTTAGCCACCCAGGATCAGGGTGATGTCCAGAGTAAAAGAGTCTGTGGCTAGGAGTACACAGTGGACTTGGTGGATAAGAGGTTTACGTGTGCATTGCAGGTCATTGTTACCTGAACTAAGATAGTCTGTGACCTGGCTTGTGAATTCAGTCATTTGAGAAGTAGTTCAAGTGATCTTATAAAACCAACTTGAAGAATCAGTTCCCCTCACTTTTATGAGGAGAAGACAATAACAAGTGGCTCTCTGAAAACAGCTGGAGTTTGGATACACAGTGCCATCGTGCCCCGACAAAGCTGAACAGAGTGTCTCCTGCTTTGGCATCCCAGTCCTGCATGAGATCCCCAGGACATCACAACTTTCTATGGTGGGATCAGGGTCTTCAAGGTCCACACCATCCCTATTCCTCTTGCACCTGAACTCTTCTGGCTCCCAAGCTTCTCAGAAGTCTTCCCTTCAAAGTCACCAGGGGAATGGTCCCCTGACTCCACACAAAGCACTACTGGAATGCCACGCACTGCAGCCTCTCAGGTGGGGAGCCTGCTTCTCCCTCTCCCTCCCGTCTCCTCTACCCCCAACTCCTGTGTGCAGGTACTCTCCCTCTCAAATAAATAAGATCTTAAAATAAAAGACTGGAGGACTGTATTTCAGGGTGGTCTTGGGAGTTAGCCTTTTGAGTTCTCAAACATATTTAATGGGAAGATGGGAGGGGAACAGTCGATGAGCATTAAGCACAAACTCACTATCCATTGCTGTTCCCCAAAATTAGTACCATAACAACTTGTAAGTTATTTTAACAACCAAGAAGGATCACAGTTCTCAATCTACATATCTCAGTCCTTCTTTGTTGCAGGGAGGAGATCATTGGGCCACAACAGGTTAGAGTTAGATATAAGCAGATGCCCACATCTTTAGGTCCAGAACACCAACTAGGGACCCAAAGCCTTAGGGGTCCTTGCACCTGAAGAAAGGAATAAGAGAAACTGGGAGGCTCCGTGGTTTCTGCTTATACCAGAAGCTGTGGCTCTGGGTGCAAGTGAGTGTGGCAAGTCGATCCCAGGGCTTTGGAGACAGAGGGCAGCTGAGAGAGCAGACACACAGATCACTGGGCTGGACCAGGTTGCACCTGCTCTGGGGTCTGAGTTCGAGGGGGCCGCCCCATCTCTGAGGACTGTCCCTAAACTCAGTTCAGTGACAAGGGAACTGTTTCCTGTTGAGGGAAAGAAGCTTAAGTTGACTTGCATCTAACTTGGGTTTACAACCTCCAGGTGACATTAATTCATTCAAGCATATATTGAGTTCCTGCTATGTGTCAAGCTCTGTTCTAGAAGTTAGGAATATGGCAGTGAACAAACATCAGAGAACCTGCCATTCTAGTGGAGGAAGGCAGACAATCTAGGAGGAAGTAAGATAATTTTAGGTAGTGATAACTGCTACCATAAAACAAAACACATAATAGGCTTCAGTGAGATTTGGGGAGGAAGAACTCTGGTTAGGGAAGTGATTTCCAATGGACCACCTGTAAGCAAGAATTTGTTCTCATTGCTAGGGCAATAAGGGGATAGAATAGCCCCTTCTAGGAGAGGTATATCTCTAATTATATATACATAATTGATAAGATGATTTAAAGATTACTTATTTGGTTAGTTTGGTTCATTTTAATAATTTCCAAGAGCCTCAATAATTTTCCATAGACTGACTAAATTGAATTTCTGCACTGCAAGTGTTGAAAGTCAGACTCCAGAATGGAGTACCCATCCCAACGTGCTGCCGATGGACCCCTGACCAGAACATTGTCCACCAACTAGGATGGCCCTATTACCTATTACAACATCCTCCTGACCCACAATTTCACAAATGGTGAGTTAAAATTTGAACTGTGAGTACTTCTGTATTCCTAGTTTTAACCCTTTATTAATTTATAATCACAAAGTTGGAGATATTCTCACTTGTGTGCTATATGATCTTGAAGTACAGGAATTGAATAAAATGGTTGGAAAACCTATACATAGGATCCAGATATGCACAATTAATAACTTAATTGTTTTATTTGTATTAATATAATTTAATATTAAATAGTAATGATTCAATAATAATGGCGATCATATAATGACTCCATGGCAGGCAGGAGGCTAAGGAAACAATGTGCCTCAGCACATCTAATCCTCAGAACTGCCCTTTGAATTCAGTAGCATCCCCAGGGTGAAAAGAGTATGCAATGTTAAGAACCCCTAGCTCCAATTACTAGCTGCATGACCTCAAGCAGAGCATTCCTCAGCTCTGAAATGGGAATTAAGATGCTATATACCACATAAATTGTATGTGTGTGAAGATTAAATGAGATAGTGGTTATAAACTAATATTGAACTGCTTAATGGAGCTTTTAGAGTTACTGTTGTAAGTCTAAAATGTTCTGTACTGAGTAGAAATTTGGTAGTCATTCAGTTCCATTTTCTTTTTGCTCTCCATGTTTTTATATGACCAATCTGGAAAGCTTCTGGGTGAATGTATGCCTGCTTACAATTTATCACAAAAAGAGCCTCGTGTGCACTTCCAACCATTCCCCCAATCCCTGAAGCCGAAGGGAAGTAAGTATACGCAAGCCAGCTGGAAGGAATGTGTGAGCTACTGAGAATGTTTATAGCAGTGTGTGAAGAGTGAAAACAATAACATTTTGCTGTTTTTTCTTTAAGGTTTGTTTGGAGCATATATATCTGTTTTAAAAAGATTATTTATTTATCTATCTATTTATCTATCAATCAGAGAAAGAATAGTAGGGGGAGCAGCAGGCAGGCCCAACACGGGACTTGATCCCAGGACCCTGGCATAATGACCTGAGCCAAAGGCAAACATTTTAATTGACAGCTTCCCAGATGCCCCTGGAGCATATATATCTTAATAGATTCAAACACACTACAGAGTGAAAAATTTTTTTTACTACACATAACTTTATTTTTCCTTTGGATTAAGAAGCTTTATTACAAATTTGACAGCATGACCAAAACAAATAACACATGGATAATTACCATAAAGCTTTACTGATCTAAAAATACTTGCCATGAAAAATAAGTCACTGTGTATCTCTCGTTTTAAGAATCACAGTGAGGAGCACCTGGGTGTCTCGGTTGAGCATCCAACTCTTGATTTTGACTCAGAGCATGATCTCAGGGTCATGAGGTCAATCCCACATTGGGCTCCACATTCAGTGCAGAGACTGCTTGTCCCTCTCCCTCCTCAACTTGTGTTCTCTCTTTAAAAGAAATAAATAAAATCTTTAAAAAAGAAAAAATCATAATGATGCCACAATTTAGATTTATTTCCCACCTTTACAATTAAATATTAAAACCTTTTGGGGGATCCCTGGGTGGCGCAGCGGTTTGGTGCCTGTCTTTGGCCCAGGGCGCGATCCTGGAGACCCGGGATCGAATCCCACGTCGGGCTCCCGGTGCCTGGAGCCTGCTTCTCCCTCTGTCTGTGTCTCTGCCTCTCTCTCTCTGTGTCTCTCATGAATAAATAAATAAAATCTTTAAAAAAATAAATAAATAATGTTAATTTCATTCATAAAAAAAGTCTTTAAACACAGGCTAAACAACGTTTGTTGGGGCTTAAGAATGCATTTATTTCAGGAATAGTTTCTGCTTGGGCATAAAATTCAAAAGGCAGAAAGTGATTTTTCCGTACAAATTATTTTATCTCTAAAGTACCAAAGGGCATTCTGGAGATACTAAGACATTTGGGGATAAAAAACATATGTAGTTTCCATAGCTTACAGCTTGGCTTTATTCTTGAAAGACTCTCTCATCCTTTTGACAACAGAAATATCCCCCACTTGCTAAGGCCAGTTGTATATCAAATACTCCCATATACAAAGACTGGCCCCATCCCCATCCACCAATTTTCCAGTGATAAGAGAAGCTACAGGAGACAGCAGGAAGCAGACCAATAGGGAGATCTCTCAGGAACTCCAATTTGCTTCGCTGGAATTTTCTTAACCCTCCAAATACGTCTTTTGCCAAAGAGCCATAGTTGTCAATAGCAGTCAGGGAATAAATGACGCCAGGGGCAACACAGTTGCTCCTTACTCCGTGCTGGCCTATTCTACAGCCAAGGATTTGGTGAGATTGTAAACACCTGCTCTGGCAGCTGCACTATACACAAATCCTGGAAATCCATTTAAAACAAGGATAATATTATTCAGAATGGATCCTCCATGCTCTTTCATCCAGGAGTTGTAAACTGCTCTCCACATGTAGAAGGTGCTCATCAATTTGGTTTCTATCACAGCATGCCATCCCTTTGCACTGATGTGTTTTGCAGGAGACCTGAACTGGCCTCCTCCATTGTTTACAAAAAATTGATCTTACCATAAATATCTAAGGTGGATTTGACCAAATTGTTCATCGCCTTTTCTTTGCAGATGTTGCATTTTATGGGAGTGACCTGAGCCTGGTGGGCTCAGTTCATCTGCAGTAGATTTTAGTCAATCAAAGTTATGTGACGCAATGACCACATTACACCCCAGCTGCAAGATCTTGGTCATGATGGCCTTTCTGATACCTGTGTCCCCTCTGGTGATGATGGCCAGTTGGTCTTGCAGCAAGCTGGCCACCAGCCAGCTCTTGCCCTTGCCCCAAGTGCCCATCTCCACCAAGCATCTGAGTCCTAGGAGTGCTAAAGTCACTTACATGGTAAAAAATAATAATAATAATAAGATTTTTTACTTTATTTATTCTTGAGAGACACATACACAGAGAGGCAGAGACATAGGCAGAAGGAGAAGCAGGCTTCCTGTAAGGAGCCCAATGTGGGACTCCATCTCTGACCCCGGGATCATGCCATGAACCCGAAGGCAGAAGACACTCCACTCCTGAGCCATCCAGGTGTCCCTACAGGAAAATTTTTATGTTTAAAAAAAATCAATAGCCTGTCTAAATTATCTCATTTTATTTAAAATAGATTAATTATCATTTTAAATACTTATATTCCGTCATAAGTCTCTTACTGACAGTTATTTTGAATTTCAAACTATAAATAACCCAGAAATAAATTTTGTTAAGATGCCTTTATCCAAATTTCAGGTTATTGAGTATATGCTTCCTTTACATTTTTTTCTCCTTTATGGAGATGATCATGTGGGATCTCTTCCTCTCTTTTGTGTCAATATGGTGAGGTTTGGTTTTGTCTTTTTTAAAGACTTTATTTATTCATGACACAGAGAGAGAGAGAGAGTGACAGGCGGAGGGAGAAGCAGGCTCCATGCAGGGAGCCCGATACGGGTTCAATCCCGGGTCTCCAGGATCAAGCCCTGGGCCAAAGGCAGGTGCTAAACTGCTGAGCCACCCAGAGATCCCCAATATGGTGAGTTTTATTAAAAGATTTCCTCATATTGGACTATCCTTGCATTTCTAGTATTTCTCACTTAGTCACATGCTATTATGAGTATCAATGCCATTGCACCAGTATTTATCAATGAGATTCGTCTGTAATTTTCTTTTAGAGACCGTTTTGTCAATTTGTGTTTGGGATTTTTTTTTTTTTTTTTTTTTTAGTGAAATAGCTCTGTCAATTTTGATCTGTGTTGGACTTTGACTTGAATCTAGTGTGGTCTGGGGTGAATGAGCTGGCTGAATGACAGACCCTATCCTGTGATAGGTGGAAAGAGGGTACTTCCGTGAAAAACTATGCATTGCTCATATCTTACTTGTTCAGTCTAGTCTTCACTATTTCCTAGTCTTTCATGGTTTTTAAGCTACTTCGGAAGACAACTGATAGCAATGCAAAATAATTCTTGTCTCTGGACATGTACATTCTGTCCTATTCAATTGACTTCTCCTCACTAGCCGGTTAAATAAATCTTTAACACTTGTTCATTTTTATATCTGCATGAGTCATGATTTTATCATTTTTAAATAATCTATTTTTATTGTAAAATATATTTATATTATGTATATTTATGTAAAATATACATAAAATTGCCATCTTAACCATTTTTTAAAATATGCGGGTCAGTGGCATTAAGAACATTATTGTGCACCCATCACCACCATCCATCCCCAGAACTCTTTCATCCTACTAAACTGAAATTGTACCCAGTAAATAATAACCCTCCATTCCTCTATCACCTAAGCTCCTGGGAAACCACCCTTCAGCTTTCTGTCTTTATAAATTGGACTGCTCTACATATCTTTGTAAGTGTGCTAGGAGGAAATACTTCCTACCAATTCAGATGCAGTGATCTAGAGACTATTAATTAACTGACAGATTTACAGGAGAAAAGACAAGATTAATTTACACACTCACACAGGAGCATTCAGATGAAGAGGCTCCCAAAAGAACTGGAGATAGACGTTTATATACCAACTGAACAGGGGAAAGCGATGAAAGCAAAGAAAGAGCTTCTCTGGAAAAGACTAAGGAGCTTTTAGGAAAACAAATGGAAAGTATGATATTGTCATGTTTGCCACTTCTCAGATGCAAGTGGTCCAAGCTGGGAGTGAAACTACCCCAAAGAGGGATTTATGGCAGCTTCTCTCTCAGAAGGATAAGCCTTTAGTCAGATACAGGAGGCCCCAGAAAGGCTTCTGCATTTGCTGTGTCATAAATGACTTCAGTTTAAAATAACCTTTGCTCCAACTCAAGGGGTATAAGTGGATCCGTACAAGTGGAATCATATAGTATTTGTCCTTCAGTGACTAGCTTATTTCATTTAGCATAATATCCCCAAGGTTCATCCATGCTTACAATGTGTTAGAATTACCTTCCTTTTAAAGACTGAAATAAAATTCTGCTGTACTTATATATTACATCGTGTTTATCCATTCATCCATTGATGGACACTTGAGTTCCTTCCGCCTCTTAACTATTGTGAATAAATGTGCTTATGAATACAGCTGTACAAATTCTTCAAGACCCTCCTTTCAATTCTTTGGGGTATATACCCAGAAGTAAAATTGCTGGATATATATTTTTTAAGATTTTATTTATTTATTCATGAGAGACACACACACAGAGAGAGAGAGAGGCAGAGACACAGGCAGAGGGAGAAGCAGGCTCCATGCCGGGAGCCCAATGTGGGACTCAAACCCAGGATTCCAGGATTACGCCCTGGGCCGAAGGCAGGCACTCATCGGCTGAGCCACCCAGGTGTCCCTCTAGAAAATTATTTTTTCACACTATACCTACCAAAAAGTCCTATTCATTGTGCATCATGGATACATCAGGGATTGGCATCTCAGTAATCAGTATGGGCCTTACCCTCACTGGGTGTTTTATTGGTAGTGGTTTTTTTTCTTTCCTATGTGATGCATCTTACAAATTCTTTTTTTTTTAAGATTTTATTTATTTATTCATAGACACAGAGAGAGAGAGAGAGGCAGAGACACAGGCAGAGGGAGAGGGAGAAGCAGGCTCCATGCAGGGAGCCCAACAGGGGATTCGGGACTCAATCCCGGGCTTCCAGGATCACACCCCAGGCTGCAGGCGACGCCAAACCGCTGCACCACCGGGGCTGCCTGCATCTTACAAATTCATCTCTCTCAAAGCCATCCGATGTTTGTGAAGAGAGGAGCATTTTATTTTAAAGATTTTATTTATTTATTCGTGAGAGACACAGAGAGAGAGTCAGAGACACAGGCAGAGGGAGAAGCAGGCTCCATGCAGGGAGCCAGACGTGGGACTTGATCCCTGGAATCCGGGATCACGCCCTGGGCCCAAGGCAGGCGCTCAACCCCTGAGCCACCCAGGTGTCCCTGAGACAGGGAAGCATTGCGGAGGGTTTGTTGCTGCTGGATTTGTGGGAAAGCTCTGAGAGTGGCGGTTGGAGGACGAAGAGTTAGTTGCCAGATTCTCCTGCTGCCTAAACCTTAACTGTGACAGGCAGTTTCCCTCACTTTGCTGAGCCACCTTTCACTGGAATCTTCTCCAAAGAAGCTCTTCTTTTTGTCTTAGCTATCTGTAGTCAACAATCTGGATAATGAAGACTAGATCCTTCTTTTTTTAAAAAAAGATTTTATTTATTTATTCATGATAGACAAAGAGAGAGAGAGAGAGAGAGGCAGAGACACAGGCAGAGGGAGAAGCATGCTCTACGCAGGGAGCCCGATGCGGGACCCGATCCAGGATCGCGCCCTGGGCTGAAGGCAGGCGCCAAACCACTGAGCCGTGCAGGGATCCCCTGAAGACTAGATCCTTCAATAATACAGTGAGCTCTTGGGAGAGCTTCCTTTATTTATGTTCATCAGTTGGTTTTTGTTGTTGGGTCAATATTACTTTATGCAAATATCTGGTAAAGTTAGTATCTTTTAGCATTCTCTTATTTTGTTTCCTCTAGATTAAAGTTATTATTTAGACAGATTACCAAAAATATTCTGATTATAACAATAAGTTAAGAATTTATATCTTTTCTTCAATATTTGCTTTCTGCCCATTTACAAGTCTTTAGTTTTGTTAATTTTATTCCATTACATCAATAATTTGCTATTTTAATTTTATTTCACATATTTATTATTAATGTCATCCCTAGCGATAGCCTGGTTAGGGTGTGGTTTCTTTCATGTGTCTAAGTTACTTTGCCATTGTACATTTACTATTCAGTTCTTGCTGGATATACTCAACATTCCCATCCAGTCACATCAATAAAAATATTCTTATTATATTAGCCTTTAAAATTTTTTTTCTTTTAGCTTTCTATTGGTAAAAAATTTCAGAAAAAGGTAGAATCATGACTCTCATATAGAGTTATAAAGTGAATATGTGAGGCAGATGTTATAGCCAATTCAAAAGAAGAATCCAAACAGTGCAGTCATATGACATAAAGGGATGGTGAGATGAATTATGAATAAAGATAAAATTGCTTTTCCACAGGTGGAAATTAGCATAAAGTCACTACCAGGCTAGATAGAATTATATATCTATCAGTTACCTACAACATACAAGGAGTTACAAAATAGCACAAAGATAATGAGCAGGAATCTGAGCTGATAATCTAGAATCTGATAATCTAGAAGGGTATACATTATAAAGGATGCATAATTTTCCACTGAAATACATGGGTTTTTTTCTACCTCTTTTTCTTTTAATTGCTATTGAGAGCACCACCATTACATGTCATATTGCATTGGCCACAGCTTTCCCAATGTTGATAGTGTATATGCTTGTCCTAATTCAAACATCAACAAAATACTGATAATGCTGCTCGTTCTGTCTTTGTTTCTCTTGGTTCTCATGATATGATCCGTGTCCATAGGTATAGTCACTTTGCCATTTCTAATTCTGATTAGTTCTTTTTCTCTTCTTTACAGTCTGCCTATTTTTCTCCTAATGCTGTTTTTCTGCTAATTATTTTATCTTCAAGTGCTCGTAATTATGCCCTTTCTTCTGCTGCCTTTGTAGTTGATTTTATTCTTATTAAATGAATTGTAGAGTTTATATGTTCAGTGTTCTTTAGTAATTGAAGAATCTGACTATGAATTTGCCTCTAACTAAAAACTTTACTTTACAGCAATGTCCACAATAGCTAAACTGGCAGGAGCCTCGGTGTTCATCGACAGACGAATGGATAAAGAAGATGTGGTCTATGTATACAATGGAATATTACTCAGCCATTAGAAACGACAAATACCCATCATTTGCTTCAACATGGATGGAACTGGAGGGTATTATGCTGAGTGAAGTAAGTCATTTGGAGAAGGACAAACGTTATATGTTCTCATTCATTTGGGAAATATAAAAAATAGTGAAAGGGATTATAGGGGAAAGGAGAGAAAATGAGTGGGAAATATCATAGAGGGTGACAGCACATGAGAGACACCTAACTCTGGGAAACAAATAAGGGGTAGTGGAAGGGGCGGGGGGCCGGGGGGACTGGGTGATGGGCACAGAGTGGGGCGCTTGACGGGATGAGCACTGGATGTTATACTATATGTTGGCAAATCGAACTCCCAATTAAAAAATATACAAAACAAATAACTTTGCTTTAGTCTCAAGAACTTTGATGTGTCCCTCGGGCCAAAAGAGAAAGAACACTTTCTTCCCCTGCTTTTCTTTCCAGCATTTCCTTTTGAAAATTTGTAATCCTAATCTTCTTTGTTCTTTTCACACATATGTAATCTTTTAAAAAGCTGAATAAGCCTTTTGCCAGTTTTGCATTCTAGGTGTGTCTTTCTGGAGCCACCTCTGTGAAAGGTGAACACAGAGGAGTGTGGGGTCCTGTCTCCCTAACTCTGTGGAAGTTTTGTCCAAGCACTTGGCTCCAAGTTTTAATTTTTCCTTTGGACTAAGACAGTTAGTTGTATGTATGTAATGGATTGTTTCTGCCTAGCTATCTAAAAGGGTGAGATTTCTTTATCATTCCAATTTCTTTAGCTGAATGCCTGTGATATGCATCATGGTCTGGTTTAATGCTTTATAACAAAACTTTCATTCTTGTCTACATTTTGTGAAGGGGTTGTACTGGGTTGACAGGAGATTTTTTTTTAAAGAGTTATTTATTTATGATAGACATATATATAGAGAGAGGCAGAGACACAGGAGGAGGGAGAAGCAGGCTCCATGCCGGGAGCCTGACGTGGGACTTGATCCCGGGACTCCAGGATCCTGCCCTGGGCCAAAGGCAGGTGCTAAACTGCTGAGCCACCCAAGGATCCCCTGACAGGAGATTTTATTTAATTATTTCTCCCCCCCCAAAAAAAATTATTTCTCCCAACAGTGTACTTTTTTAATTAATTAATAAATTTATTTATTTATTTATTTATTTATTTATTTATGAGAGCCCAAGAGGCTGGTGGGGAGGGGCAGAAGGAGAGGGAAAGAGGGTCTCAAGCAAACTCCATGCAGAGCGCAGAGCCTGGAGCCCTCTGCAGGGCTCGATCCCACAACCCCTGGGAGAAACCAAGAGTTGGACACTCAACTGACTGCACCACCATGCAGCCCCCCAGCACTGTCCTTTTGCTGTCTTAACAATCTGTGTGTTATGGTTGTTATTATCTAAAACTTATAAGAAAGTTAAAAGTCAATTTAAGTGATTGTCATGTTATATATACTCTGGTCCAAAAATTTGAAATCTTTTAAAGACATCTTGAGAAACATTTGTTGCTTTTATTAAGGACCATCTAGTACACTTGTGATTGGGACCTTATAATCATGACGATTACATTTTTCAAATGGTTGTTACTGATACATACTAGCACCGCTGATGTCTATATGCCAATCTTATGTGACACAACCTGGCTGAACTCTATTATTCTGTAGGTTTGTCTAGGATTGTCTTGGATTTCCTGTGTAAAGAGTCATATGATCTACATTTATTGGCAGTTTTGTTTCTTCTTTTCCTGTTCTCATACAGCATTTTTCCTTGTAAAAGTGTATTGACAGGATGTCCAGTACAGTGTTGAATAGAAGCAGCGATATGACATCTGAGTTAGTCCAGGCCCCACAGGAACCAGATGCCAAGATAGGAAAATGTGCAAGGATTTTACTAGGGGAATTGTCTATGAAATAAAAATGAGGAAGGAGCCAAGGACGGCTTGGAGAGCTACAGATGGACACAGGCGATGAGGCAATAGGGAGGCAAGGTGAGGTGGAAGTGTGCCAGATCCACCAGGCACTCTCAAGCAGGTTCAGCAAAGTCCTTGGCAAGTCCTCAAACCAAAATGTCTCCCAGGAGCTAGTCTGTTGCACGCAGTCCTTGGTGCAGAGCAACACATGTGAGGTGTGGCCCTTGCTCCAGGCTGCCAGGGATTCTTGTGGGCAACAGGGTGGGCCCTGGGTCAGTGACACTCCCTGAATTGGAAGTGCAGGGTGCATCAGGTGTGCAGGATGTGAATGGTGGCTCTTATTTGACTTTAAAGGCAGTGTATATAGAATACCACTACTAAATATCAGGTTCAGGAATTTTCTTCCTATCCCTTACTTGATTTTCCTGACGCCATTGACACAGTTAAATAATTAATGACATTAACCCTTCTTGCATTCCTGGTATCAATCATACTTGATCATCTTTTTAAGAGAACGATTTGTCAGTGTTTCATTATTTAGGACTTTTACATCCAGCTTCAAAAGTGAGGGGATCCCTGGGTGGCTCAGCGGTTTGGCGACTGCCTTTGGCCCAGGGCACGATCCTGGAGTCCTGGGATCAAGTCCCGCGTCAGGCTCCTGGCATGGAGCCTGCTTCTGCCTCTCTCTCTCTCTCTCTCTCTCTCTCTCTCTGTCTCTCATGAATAAATAAATGAATAAATAAATATCTTTATAAAAAAGTGAGATTGGCCAATAATTGCCAATATTCACTGTTCCTTAAAAAGGGACATATTATATTTCTCAGTTTTCTTGCCAACGCCATAATAGCATCATAGGAGTGGATTTCATAGCTTGGTGAGATTACGAATGAATGTTTCCTATCTCTGACTTCTATAGATTCTAGATTTGTACTGTCCAAAAATGTAGCATGTAGCTACATGTAGCTATTAATTGAAATTAATTGAAATTAAATAAAACTAAAAATTGAGTTAGTCCCACGAGCCACATTTCAAGTGGTCTGTAGTCACATGTGTCTCATGGCTTTCACATCAGACAGCACGGGTCTAGAAAATCTCTGTCACAGCACAAAGATCTGCTCTGTAGCCTGGGTGGCCTTGGAGGGTGATGGGATGGGGCTACACTTCCCTAGGAAGTGTAGGAAGAAAGCCTAGGAAGCCTAGGAGGAAAGGAGGGTTTAGGCCGTGGAAAGAATATAAGTGACCTGAAATTAACCTGATGCTTCATGAGTGAAGAAAGAAAACCTCCATCCTCCATCACCCTAAGCTCAATCAGTGGGACTGTGGTGAGCTTACAATGTGCAGACTTGCTCTTGAAATGCACTTAAAATATGCCTCAATTGCCTATTATATGTTGGTCCCTCAGACTACAGCAATGATAAGAGCAGACACCTCTTTTATTTCATGGAACTTACAGTTTAGCAGAGATAGACAACAAGCAATGATACCTGCGTGTGTGTGTGTGTGTGTGTGTGTGTGTGTGTGTGTGTGTTTGAATGAGTGGGTGGTAGGGTAGAAGTGGTAGTACAAGAGCTATGAAGCAGAGTAGGATAGAGCCATCATTGAGGGATGGGAGTGTTATCCTATGTGAGTGTTCAGTGTTCAGGGAAGACTTCTCCAACAAGGGGAAATATAAGCAGAGACTGAAAGAGAATGAAGTGAGGGAGCCAGCCAAGTGGATTTGTAGGAGAAATCTTCCAGGCAGAGAGAAGAGTAAATGTAAAGGCCCTGAGATAGTTCTGGACCCTGTGCCACCAGTGCCTGGGGTGGGGGGTTGGGGGAGACGGTCACAGAGTCAGGTTTGCAAGACCCAAACTCTGGATGTGGAGTCATGAATGGAGGGTGGAGCGAGGTCTCCAGTTCCTTGGATAACGTCTGTCCTGTGATGGACATGAAGGATTTGGAGCCTCCATGCTGACTTGGGGGGATGCTGAGCAACAAGTCTCCTGACTCTTCACCAGGTCCGTGGAGATGAGCAATCCTGCACCACCCAAGCTCCTGGAACTTGCAGCCCACAGCCTCCTGAGCAGAGGCTTCACCCATACCTGCCTTGGAAGAGTTCACAGTCAACTACTTCCCACCACTGCTCATGGCTGCTTTTACACTTGATCTTAGCCAAAAGGCCAAGAAGCGATCTCATGGCTGCTTTTGCCAAAAGGTGGTGTCTCTGAAGGCACTGGTGCAGGTCTGGCCCTTCCCCTTTCTCCACCTGGGCTCCCTGATTGTACAGTGGCCCAACCAAGACAGCCTGCAAGTTGCGCTTGCCTGCCCTGCCCAGAGGACTTGTCCCAGGTAAGGGGGTTGCTGGACTGAAGTATGGGTGCTGAAAGAGCTGTGAGTTGGAGGTAGAGCTGGGAAGGAAGGGAGGGAGTACTGGAATCTGCTAGGGCTGTGAGTGAGGATCTCTGCGTGAAGTGGTTGATGGTGTAGCTGAAGAGCATTAAGGAGTGTGCTTTTTACCTTCTAGGGATTGTGGTAGAGGTGTGAGGAATAGGGACTGGAAAGTAGGAAGGGAAAAACCCATTAGAGAGGAGAGGACTAGGGGGGCACCTAGGAAGGGCTGATGCTGGGACAGGGGACTTAGACTCCACAGTGGCCCAGGGCTGCTGCTGCTGCTGCTGCTCTGCTTACCCTGGGCCCTGATGGGCTCCCCAGATGTCAGCATCTCCTCACACCGCTCTCATCTCCACAGGAGGTCAGAACTGAGGGTGCTGGATTTGACCTTGGACTCCGAACAGGTCCAAGGTAAAGGCGCCTCTGAGGCCCTGGCCAGGTTCCCTTTTTGGTTACCATTCACAGTGATGCCCCTGGTCAGGGCCAAGCCCAAGCCAGCAGAGTCTGCAAGAACTAGTGGAATTACACATGGATCTTTTCCTATGAAGGCCCCTCAAGTTAGATACATTCCTCTCTGGCCTCCTGAATAAAGTGGAAGGGAGCTGTGGGTCCCTGCATCTCTGCAGTAGAAAGTTGCATATTAAAGAAATGCCTTTTAATAGCCTTATAGGGATCCTGAAAATCTGAACCTAGATTTCATTTAGGAGCTGGAGGTGTTTGACTGGTTCTGGGCACTGTCTGTGCAGAGCCTGTCTGCCACCCAGCTGGGCAGGATCTGCAACCAGCCAAGGCCTCAAGCTGGCCTGCTACCACTGGGCCTTCTCCTCTGAGTCTGAGCAGCCCTCCAGGTACTTCCTGTCGTAGCTCAGCAAGCTGGGCCACCTTCAGAAGCTCTACTCTTACTCCTACCTGTCAGGCAACCTGCATCAAGTGCTCAGGTGAAGGGGTGGGCAGGGTCCTCTAAAAAGTACCCAGGATGCCCCCTCAAGTCAAGTCAGGGCAGAGGGTAAGACAGGAAGTGGTAGCTCTCCTTACTTGCTCATGGCATCGCAGGTAGTCTGGGAACTTGTAGCCAGTGGCTGGGATATGCTTAGGAAGAGAGATTTGATGGGGAAAGATGCATGCAGCGATTTCCTCAACAATACTTCTGGGCTCTGCTGAGTGCCTGGCATTGTGCTGGGCCCTGAGGAAAGAACTAGAGACAACACAGACCAGTCCTGGTATTTGTGCTGCCCTGGAGAGGAGTGTGCACGGCTCCCCAGGATGATTATGGGAGGGAAACATCTGCTCTGTGCTGCCTCCCAGAAATTTCTGGGTAGAGGCCTTCAGCACACCCCAGCCAAGCTAAGCTCCCCTAAACCCAAACCTGTGTAAAAAACAAGCTTATGCTATGGATTCTTTATGGTCACATAATCTCTTTCCAAACAGCTCCTGTCAGCAGTCCTACCAGGTACTAATGTGGTCTCCATTTCACCAGAGAAACTGTGTCGGGGGCGTTGGAAGAGGACCTAGGAGGTAGGTCTGTTGAGACTGGGCCAATCCTTGGTACACCAAAGGACATACTCCTAAATCTATTGGTAAATGGCAGCCCAGGTGAGGTGCTAGCTGCAGGACTGGCCCCGACAGGGACAGGCAGGTGTTTGCCGGCCCGGCCCTCCCCTGACAGAGCCGCACCCTCTCTCCTCAGTCACCTGCAGGAGCCACTGCACTCCCTGGAGATCCGCTCCTGTACGTGGGCATCACCTACTTGTCTCAGAACTTTCACACTGCCTCCCTGAAGAAGCTGTATCTGAGTGGTGACAACCTGTCATACGTGGTCCCTGGGCCCTTGGAGACTCTGCTGGAGGAGGTCTCGGGGACACCGCAGCACCTTTACCTGAAGCACTGCCTGCTGAACAACGCCGACCAGGCTGCAGAAGCTGTTGGAGACCATGCAGTGGAGCTTCCCCTGTGGCTGCTGCAGCTCTAGAGGGGCAGTTCGGGGGTGGAGGGGTCTGGAAGCTCGCCTGGGGCCCCAGGCTTCCCGGGGGGTTCTGTGCTCTCCTTCCTCAGCTGCAAGCCTTGGCCTGGTTCTGACACCCATTTGTTCCCGTCTCCTGGGCATGTGACAGAGATTCCAGGAGCCCAGCCCTTGGGGAGCTCTCCTTTTCCTCAGCATGCCCCTCTGGACACTCTTTGGTTTTTTTCTTCTTGTCTTTGCTTCTGGGTAGAAGGAAATTGGGGGATCCCTGGGTGGCTCAGAGGTTTAGCGCCTGCCTTCGGTCCAGGGCATGATCCTGGAGACCTGGGATCGAGTCCCACATCGGGTTCCCTGCATGGAGCTTGTTTCTCCCTCTGCCTGTGTCTCTGCCCCTCTCTCTCTGTCTGTGTCTCTCATGAATAAATAAACAAAATCTTAAAAAAAAAAGTTTTCTTATCTGTAAACATGGGCTATTATTTATGCGTTTTTTAAACTTATTTTTTAAAGTTTTATAAGTATCCCCATATAGGTTTTCAAAAACTTTTATAGATTTTCACTAGATATCTTATAATTTTTTGGTGTGGTATATACTTTTTATTATTAAATTTTCTGCTTATTACTGGTATATAGAAATGTGATTGGCTTTCATGTATTGATTGTATAAGTCACCTTGAAAACCTCTCCTGTAATTTCTGTTAATTTTTCAATTGATTTTTCTCCGTATTCTAAGTAGAAGATCATATTATTGGCAAATAATTATGCTTCATTTCTTCCTTTCCAAACCTTATGCTTTTAATCTCTTATTTCTTCTCCTACTGAATTTTACCAAATGCTTTTTCTACCTCTATTGAGATGATAGTATTTTTTTCTTTCATTTATTTTTGACCAAACCTAATTTCATTTACTTCAGCCTATGGGTTTTCTAGTATTAAAATGCATTGCTGGGGTGAATATAACCTGATTATGACATGTCCTTTTAATATTCTGTTGGATTTGGTTTGCTAAATACTAGTTTTGGATTTTGTATATGTCTTCATTAGGTGATAACAGCTAATTGACACAGCTGTACTAATCACCACCATATAGGGGTTTATTAACTCCTCCCTGTAGTTTTATCAATTTCTGTTTTATATATTTTGAGAATATTTTATCATGTGGATACATGTTTAGAATTACATCGTCTAGATAAATTGATCTTCCCCTCCTAGATAGTTCTATTCTAAGGGTCACAAAGCAGTTATCCCTGCATGCCTGGGGGAAGAGGGCCAGAGACTGAATGACTCTCCTCTACCCTGTCCTACCCAAGTCTTGAGGATTTGGACTGTTTCTAGTAGGGATCAATCTCAGTACTGTGTTGGGAACTCCACCTGGTTCCTGGAAGCCCCAAAGTATTGGGATGGTCCTATTCCCCAAGAGGGGGCCTTGCCTCTTGGCTCCTACCTGATGATCGAAGGCAAGACATCTACCAAAGGAAGCCAGTCAGAAGCCTTTCCCAGACCATAGCTCATGTTGCCCAGGGGGCCCGAATCAGCTTCACTTCTTCCTATGGCCAGTGTGCCTCAGCTAAGTCTGCCCAGTGAGGGCTCTTCTAGATTCACATGCCCAAGCTTGGCATCTTCAATTTTCCTGAAATTATACAGAACACATTTTCTGGGGTTCTTGTATTGTGGGGCTTTATCACTAGGCAGAGGCAGAGTTGAGGATTTCAGGTTCTAATGCAGTTAGACCAAGGTTAGCACAGCTCTGGCTTCTCCAGAAGCAGCTTCTGAAGAGTATGAGTAGAGGCTTGAGTTTTCCTTCCCTGTCTTATGAGGGACAACATGCCTTGTAAATGTGCTCTCTAGAATTCTGTTTTACCCTGCAACAAATTCCATCCTGGCAAGGAACCCAGCCCCTTCCATGCTCTTGGTACGTGCAATCTGGAACATGCTGGGAGGCAAAGCCTCAGCTCTTAGCCACCTGGAAGAGTTCCCCAAGAGCCTCTTCTCACCTCTGATTCTTGCTGCTTTTTCTAGTTGACCAAAGAGGCAGTGAAGGCCATAGTGCAAATCTTACCCTTCCTCAAGATGGAGCTTGTTTCCATAACATTAGGGTTGAAGGCAAGTAGAGAAGGAGAGTCAGAGAGTTAGAGCCATGTGAGAAAGGAGAGGCTGAGATGGTACAAAGCTGATTGGGCCAAGGTTGATCAAGATGATATTGATTAGTGAGAGCTATATTACCTCCTATAGGTGGTAATATGGATGAGTACTAGGGATGGGAATGAGGGAATATCTGAGAGGGAAGAAGGATGGATGAGGTAGAGGAGGGACAGGCTGGCAGCAGGGACATAGGCCTAAGGACAAGGAATCTGGCCCTTGCTCGAGGTCTCCAACCTCTGCTGGGTTTATTGTGTGGGGGTACACTGTCCTAAAAGGCAGCCTCTCAGGCCAACCTCTCCCATCCCCACAGAAGGCCAAAGCTGAAGAATTTGACCTGATCCAAGACTTAGAACAGGATCCCTAGAACACATAATCATCTGTTCCCAAGCAACAGCCATAATTGTGCAGTCCAGCCAGTGGCCCAGCCAGAGAGGAGGCGAGCCCAAGGCAGGGGAAGCACAAAGCAATAGAAAAATGCACAGATCTTGTATTGAGCTGTTTATGCAAGATGGATGAGTCATAGGTGCCTGGGTGTCTCAGTCAGTTAAGCATCCAACTCTTAATTTTGGCTTGAGTCATGATCTCAAGGTCGTGAGATCGAGCCCTGCATTGGGCTCTGTGCTGAGTATGACACCTGCTTGAGATTCTCTCTCTCCCTCTCCCTCCCCACTTGCTCTCACACACACTCTCTCTCAAATAAGTAAATCTTAAAAAAAAAAAGATGGACAAGTCCTTCTCTATCTCCTAAAAAAGATCAAACTAAACCTTGGCCCTCTACTCCTCTGCTGCCAGACTGTGTGGTCAAGATAGCATCAGAATCTTCATCAAGATGGTGTTGTGGGTGCTGGACCCAGACTTCCTCCAGAAGGCAGAGATGCTGGAGGGGGACTTTCACCCTTTTGCTATGAGAAGGCTTTGCCAGGCATGGCACCCGTGACCAAACTGAACAGGGCCATGATTCCACTAGCATCTCTCTGAGAAAAAGGGGTAGGACAGGATCTCAACAACTTTGTTGTCCACCTTAGGAGTCTGGGATACTTTGAAGCAAGGATTTTTTTCCCCAGGTGAGCAGGGAACAAGTGGAAGTATCCTTTTAGACACAAAGGCCATGAACCCCTTGAATACTCTGAAGTCAAGACCCAAGCCAGGTGGGGACTATTCAGACACTCATCATAACTGGGAAGTTGCTGTCCTGGACTAGTTGGGGGTAGTAACCCACGGGGAGGAGAAAGTTATGTTTGAAAAGCAACAGTCCATTCATTATTCTTCCAATGAACATCTCTTCCAGAGACCATGCTAAGCATGAAGATTTCAGGGGTGCTGGTGGCAGCCTTGCCTTTCTGGAGGATCCAGTCTCCCCAAGGAAGGTGAGGGAACAAATAACTAAATGGCAGAAGCTCTGCCTTATCAGTAATTGCTTTAAATGTAAATAGATTAGGGATACCTGGGTGGCTCAGTGGTTGGGCAACTGCCTTTGGCTCAGGACATGATTCTGCAGTTCTGGGATCGAGTCCTACATCGGGCTCCCTGCATGGAGCCTGCTTCTCCCTCTGCCCATGTCTCTGCCTCTCTCTTTGTGTCTCTCATAAATAAAAAAAATCTTTTAAAAATGTAAATAGATTAAATTTTCTACAAATGGCAGAGATAGGCAAAATGCATTTAAAAACTGATTCATAGATATGGTTCATTTGAGATATAAAGACTCACGAGATACAGACACAGAGTTGAGATAAAAGAGTGGAAAAATATATTCCATACAAATAGTAACCAAAGACTGAAGTAGCTTATGTAGCTCTGCCAATATCAGAAAAAGTGCATTTTAAGTCAAAAACAGTCTCAAGAGACAAAAATGGACATTATATCTTGACAACAGAGTCCAAAATGTATGAAACAAACATTGACAGAATTGAAGGGAGAAATAGTTCTACAATAATGGAGACTTAGTTACACCTTTTTCAATAATGAATAAAACATCTAGACAGAAGATCAACAAGGAAATTGAGGACATGAAGAACACTGTAAACCAATTCAACCTAATAAACATCTATAGAACATGCCACCCAACAACAGAAGAATACTCATTCTTCTCAAGTGCACATGGGACATTCTCCAGATTGACCATATATTAGGCCACAAAACAAGTCTTCATAGATTTTCAAAGACTGAGGTCACCCAAAATATATTTTCTTATCACAAAGGAATGAAGCCATAAGTCAGTAACAAAAAGAAAAATTTACGAGTGTGTGGAAATCAAACAGCACACTCCTAAAAAGTCAGTGGGTCAAAGAAAAAAGTTGCAAGCGCAAGGAGAAAATAGTGGAGAGGAATGAAAAAGGAAACACATCATGGCAAAACTTATTTTTTAAAAGATTTTATTTATTTATGCATGAGAGACACAGAGAAGGGCAGAGACACAGGCAGAGGGAGAAGCAGGCTCCATGCAGGAGGCCCGACTCAGGACTCGATCTCAGAATTCCAGGATCACGCCCTGGGCCGAAGGCAGGCACTAAACCGCTGAGCCACCCAGTCGTCCCCATCATGCCAAAACTTACGGAATGCAACAAACACAGCACCCAGAGTCAAATGGAGAGCTGTGAGTGCCTATATTAAAAAATAAGAAAGATCTCAAATCAGTAACCTAACTTTATCTTGAGTACCCAGGAAAAGAAGAGCATCTAAATATAAAGCTAGCAGAAGGGCAGCCGTGGTGGCTCAGCGGTTTAGCACCGCTCTGTCTCTGTCTCTGTCTCTGTCTCTGTCTCTCTCTCTCTCTCTCTCTCTTTCTCTGTGTGCCTCTAATAAATAAATAAAATCTTAAAAAAAAAAAAGCTAGCAGAAGAAAGTACCTACCTAAGCCCTGTCTTGGGTCCCACAGGCCCCCCACTTCTATGGTGAGACTCCACCCTTCCCTCCCCAGCACCCTGGGAGAAGGGCATCCTTTCTGCACAATGGTGCCCCTCCCCTGATCCTTTTCATCCCCACCCCACCCCACCAGCTGGGACATGGCCCCAGGGACCCTTAGCAGAGGTTGGCATGCAGGAAACCAGGGGCCTGATTGCCCCACTGTGAGTGGACCCCAGGGACAGCCCCATGAGCCCCTGCTGCCTCAGGGCCTAGGCCCTGACTCTACCCCCAAAGAACACTGTCTTGTCCCCACCCCCAAAGAATAATGCCCAGTGATATCCACAGAGAGAAATGAAATTGGAGTGGAAATGGGAAAAGATGGAGAACAACGCAGTCTTGGGGAGGGAGGAGCTTAAAAGAATAATGTAAGTAAATTCATGTCCATAAAATTGACAACCAAATGAAATAGACAAATTCCTTGAAAACAGATTTCAAAAGGTAACAATACACATAGAAAATCTAAAATGTCCTATATCTGCTAAAGAAATAGAATCTCTGGTTTTAAATTTTCTCACAAAGAAAACATATGCCTAGATGGTTTCCCTAGTGAATTTTTCTAAGCATTTAAAGACCTAATACTAACCCTATCTCCAAGGCCCCACAGCTGGAGATGAGCAGCAGTCCACCATCTCTCCTATTCTCCCAGTGAGGCAGGGAGATTCTCTTTGTGCGGATCAGCTCCCCTCCTGAGCACTGTGCTCTATAGGGAGATGGTCCTATGAAGGGTGGCCTGGGTAGGGGCTGGAAGACAGCTCTGGACCCCAGGGAGCACTGAGCACCCACGGAGTCAGAGTTGGCGTCCTATTGCCAACACCCTGGGCATCTATCAAGGACATGCCCACAGCATCCCCAAGAAGAGATTACAGGCCCTGCTTCCTCAGTGGAGCCTGAATTCACACTGAACACACATGTATACACACACACACAGTGCACAGGGCAAATTCAACCTTTACCAGCAGAATATGAGGGAGTACTGACTGGGCAGCCACTAAGAGTCCCTTTTGGGGTGTTGGAAATTTTCTTTGCCTTCATCTGGAAGGTGGTAACACAGGTGTTTGCATGCAAATGGAATCATCATGTGTACTTTAATGATGACTGCCTTTGCTGTCTATAAATTTTACATTAACTTTTTTTAGTCCATGGAAATGGAAGTTTACTTGTTTCCAGCACCACTTATTGAAAGGACTTTGCTTTCTCCTATTGAATTGCTCTGGTGCTTTTGTGAAAAATCAATTGATATTACATATGTTCATCCTTGACTGGCAGCTGTATTACATTTCATTGAGCTGTGTTTGTCTTCTCCCTATGCCCGCACCATGCTGGTATAAGGAGACTTGCTGGTTTTCTTTGTGGGAAAATTTGATGACTGCCTTAGAGGAAGGGTTGAGGTCAGGTTATGTAAGTTCCCACCTGTGTTCTTCTCATTCAAGTATGTAAAATAAGTAGACTGACAAAATAAATTTGAGAAAAAAGTTACAAGTTTAGAAGATAGGTGCATACACACACAGATACACACACACAAGGAGCCAACACCTGTATAATATAGGAGACCCTGAAAAGAAAAAAAAAACAAGAAAAGAGGATAGTACAAAGTCAAGTACAAATAGTACAGATTTGAGAGACCTTTCCTTAAATTAGAAAAAAACATCTTTGAAACCATATATTCCAAGGGAAACTGTAAACCTGAGAAAACTGATCCAAGTGACCAACACCAGGATGTATTCTAGCAAAAATCAATAAACTTAAAAAGCAACTTGGAGCATTGAGGCAAAAAAAAAAAATCACAAGGGAAAGAAAAATCAGATTATCAGACTTCTCGAGAGCAACATTTTATACCAGAAGAAACTAGAGTGACATATTTAAGATATTCAGGGAAGGAAAACATGAGTGAAGGATTTTAGGTCCAGCTACACTGACTTCCAAGGATAAAGACCACAGTTACCAATATGCCACCAGCAGCCAGGAAGGCAGAGATGCACGTGGAGCCAGCATACATAAGGTGTGAACACTAAAAACATAAAAATGCCAGAATTGACTTAAAATCATCATGGTGACAAGAAAGTAAGATTTACCCAGCAGATGTCATGAATGTGCTAGAAGAGCTAAAAGGTTTGTGTGTGTCACTTACTCTGGGGTCTGGAACTCTGAGCCATGCAGGCTCAACTGAGGCGTCATAGGATTGACAGTAATAACTAGCTTTGTCCTCAGCTGAGAGCCCAGCAATAGTCAGAGGGACTGTGGTGCCCAAATTGGAACCAGAGAATGAGTCAGGAATCCTAAGGACTGGTTGTTGTTCTTGTAGATGAGGACTTCGGGGACCTGGCAGTTGCTGATGTGGCTTAAGATAACGCATCCTGCAATATTGCTGCCCCTTCCTGTGGAGGATATGGTGACCTTGTCTCTCAGGGATCCGACATTGAGGCCAACTGAGTCAGCATAGACTGGGCTTTGGCAAGAACGCTCTTGAGATCCCCCAGAACTGAGCATGCTGTGCCCCCTGCTGGGTCCAGGCCTCAGGTCTTACCTCCTGGTGGGCAGAATGATCCCCAAATGGAATTAAAGAATAAAGGGGCTCTGGTGTTGCCTCTCTGCCAACTGGTCTCATCCTTTAAATCCCGTCTTAGACCTGACTGCTAGAATAGTGTGGAAAACAGACCATAGGGCTCAGAGTGGAGACTAGGAGACCAGGAGGGAGATGGGCTTGGGTCAGGATGGTGGCCGTGGAAGCAGGGAGGATTGATTGCATCTCAGATATATTTTGAAGACAGGGATGGCAGGATTTTCAGATGAGTAATAAGCGAGAAAAAGAGAGGAATCCAGGACGCTGTCAGACATTGGGCTTAAGCAACCAGGAAGATGAAGCTGCCATTTTGGAGACGGAGACCTTGCCAAGGAGTGGGTTTGGAATCAGTTCCATTTTGAAAATGAGTCTCATTATGACTTTTAATTCTTGGCATTTCTCGACTTTAATTTGACCGTAAGATGTTTCTTTGTCCAGAGCATCTTTCAGGGCTCCTACTCCAAAAAAGGCAGATTGGAGAAAGTGCCTACAGGGAGCAGGGGAAATGTGTGTCTGCTATTACTTAAAACATATTTAGGGACACCATAAAAGATATTTAAATAAGGCCATGAAAAGTTTTTTTTTTTCATGAAAAGTTTTTTAAGCCTTCCATAATCCTAATGCTTTAACACACACAAAAAAAGGTTGTTTTTATTGCCCAATTCATCTTCCAGATAGATTTTATATTCATTCATTCGTTCGTTCATTCCACAGTCACAGCATTAAAAAGAGTCTGCTATACACTCATCTGCAATTTTGATTATTTTAATTATTAACAGCATATATATTTCCATATTTATCATTCCGTTTTTACGATCATTGTAACAGTTGCCTTTCTTGCTTTCCCGGTGGCGGAGAAGAATAAGGTGGAGGGTTCGGGGAGGCCGCGGGGAGGGGTCAGGAGGCAGGGCCGGTACCCGCGAGCCACGGAACCCGCGGGCGCGGCCGTGCGCGCCCCGGAGGGCAGGCGAGGGGACGCCAGCCGCGGGGACGACCGCCGCGGCCGGACCGGAAGTGGAGGCTGCCGAGTCCGCCCCCCGAGCGGAAGCTGCGGCGGGAGCCCCGGCGGGAGCCGCGGTGGGGCTGCGGGTGAGCGGCGGGCGGCGGGAAGCGCCGGGGAGGTGGGCCCCGGGGCGTGGGAGAGAAGGCGGCTCCTTGCTTTCCCGCGCCCTGCTTCCCGGCGGGGGCGCCCGCACCCCGGGGCTGGCGGTGGGGGTGCCGGGAGGTGGTGAGGGGCGACCTCCATCGACCCTCCCGCGGGTCTCTGAGGTGCGGGCTGCGGCCACAGGTGGGGAGACGGAGGTGCGGGGGGCCGCCTGCCGCCCCGGGCCCGGCTCAGCCTTGAGGGCACCCGGGTATGTTTCTCCGAGTTGTTGGTGGACGGACTCGCCGGAATCAGTTCTCGCAGGTGAAAAGGAAGACTGGTCTTATCCTGCCTCTTTGTCACTCAGCCTTCGGGAGCAGGACGTGGGAAAGTCAGCCCAGAGTGGGCTTGATGGCCATTGAGCCCCGAGGTACCCCTAGAGCCGTGGCAAAGGTCGCCTGGGCCTAGGCCGAATTGTTCTGAACCTCGGTTCGCTCGTAGTCAGAAAACTGACCAGGCCAGCCTCGAGGCGTGACGGGCCAGGTTGAAGAGAGCGGCAGCGTGCAGAGCGGGGCTTGCGTGCAGAGGAGGGGCTTGCTTTCCGGACCCCGCGGCACCGGGTTAAGTTGCTCAGGTGGAGACCCTGCTCTCAATGCTGTCTGCGCCACTGCTGGGCCTCCACCCCCAAGCCAAGTTCAGTTGTTCGTAAGACTGACAGGGGAGGACTTTGTGTACCGTGACCCCCCGAGGGCACCCACCGTTGCTGATACTGCTGCTGAGAGTCCGCCGACCGGTAGTAAGTGGCCGACCTGACACTCTCACTTTACAGTTCCAGTTTGTGTTGTTTGCTGTCAACACTCCCTCAGCACTTGCTGATTCTCCCTTTTGAAATGAGAGAACCAACTTCAGATGCAGCTTAGGAGGCAACGAGATCAAATTTGATTAACCACGTAGGTTACGGAAAAGAAGGCGATCAAATTTCCCTTTAAAAATAATATGCATTTAAGATTTTATTTATTTATTCATGAAAGAGAGAGAGAGGCAGAGACACAGGCAGAGACAGAAGCAGACTCCATGCAGGGAGCCCAACGTGGGACTCAATCCAGGGTCTCCAGGATCACGCCCTGGGCTGAAGGCAGAGCTAAACCGCTGAGCCACCGGGGCTGCCTTAAGATTTTTTTAAAAAGCCAAAACCTGGCACGCCTGGGTGGCTCAGAGATTGGGTGTCTGCCTTTGGCTCAGGGCGTGATCCCAGTTTAGGGATTGAGATCCCTGTAAGGAGCCTGCTTCTCCCACTGCCTATGTCTCTGCCTCTCTCTGTCTCCCATGAATACATAAATAAAATCTTTTAAAAAAATGCAAACACTTAAGTAATAACAGTACAGCCAAAGGGTTTTAAGACGGCATATGGTATAATGATGGTTTATAGAAGTTTGCAAACCACTGCTTTCAGCTTTTATTCTCATTGATTTCCCCTTAAAAAAAAAAAGATTTTACTTATTTACTCATGAGAGACACAGGCAGAGGGAGAAGCAGGCTCCCCATGAGGAGCCCAATGTGGGACTCCATCCCAAGACCCTGGATCACGACCTGAGCCAAAGGCAGATGCTCAACCACTGAACCACCCAGACATCCCTAATTTCCCTTTTGAAGTTGGAGTGTGCCCTAATAGAAAAATAGGCCCCAAAATAACCACAGAAAATTAATCAGTTAAGACTGCAGAATTCTTTTAAGAGGTAGACCCTGGTGCAGTTAAAAAACAAAAAAGTATCTCAGAGAAGCAGGAGTTTCAGCTCCAACTCAACAAACTTTCCAGGTAACCTTTGGAGAATCTCTTTCTCTGAGTCTTAATTTGTTCTTCCTTGAGACGTCTGTACCAGATCATCACCAGGGTCCCTTTCCCAGGATTCCAAATCCTTAAAGTCATACATTTTTCCCAGTAAATCAGTGATACTCAGATCATTACAAAGTCCTTATGCAGAATTGAACTATAAACTGTTGAACTAGAGCCAGAACTGCTAAAGACCTACATGTAACAGTGTGGAATAGCAACTGGTCTGATGTGGACAGGTGATCTGAAATGGGTATGGATGCCGGTGTGCCTTCGTGGGCGCTGTCAAGGTATATCCCTAGCCCTGGATAAATGAGGTACTCCCTTTGAAGATGCTAGGACAAAATGTTACTCTAAAGGGATCTGTAGAGAAGAATCTGTTCTTTATTTCCTGAAAGTGTTTAAGATCCTTAGGTACAAAGAAGAGTAGTAGAAATATAAAACTTGTAGAAATTTTAACACCATAGGAAAAAAGGATGTTGAGAAGTGTTTGCAGTAGTCCTATAGATGTAAAGTCTGTTTTTAAAATTTAGGTATCTAGGGCAGCCCGAGTGGCTCAGCGGTTTAGCACCACCTTCAGTCCGGGGTGTGATCCTGGAGACCCGGGATCGAGTCCCACATCGGGCTCCCTGCATGGAGCCTGCTTCTCCCTCTGCTTGTGTCTCTGCCTCTCTCTCTGTATCTCATGAATAAATAAAATCTTAAAAAATTTAGGCATCTATAAGTTTTTATTATTCACTTCACAGGTAAATTTTTTTTGATAGAGAAAACACACACATAGAAGCAGAGGGAGAGAATCTTTTTTTTTTTTTTAAGATTTTATTTATTTATGAGAGAAACACAGAGAGAGGCAGAGACACAGAGGGAGAAGCAGGCTCCATGCGGGGAGCCCAATGTGGGACTCGATCCAGGACCCCAAGATCACGTCCTGAGCGGAAGGCAGGCGCACTTAACTTGCTCAGCCACCCAAGTGTTCCAAGGAAAGAGAGAATCTCAAGCAGACTTCCCACTGAGTGCAGAGCCGGATGGATGGATACCAGACTTGATCCCAGGACCTTGAGATCATGACCTGAGCCAAAGTCAGACACTTAACCTGAGCCACCCAGGCGCCCCTCTTCCGTACTTCTAAATCGTAGTTCTTTTTGACCACTTATGTGTGTCCACTGCACTAAATGTAACAAGTACAAAAGGAAGTATGGTTAGCAGAAGGCCCCCCCAGGTCCAGCTTCCAGACCCTAACCCCACCCTTGCCCCCAGGTGGTTGCTTTGCCATTTCTTGAGTGTGTGTGTGTGCACACACATCCATAGATGGCAGTGCTTTGTACAGTCACACACTTCTTCATGTAATTTCTCTGAAACTCAATTCACATTAGTATTTACGGAGCAGATGCACTTCTTTCTCATTGCTGCTTGGTGTTCCATTGTCTGCCACACTTTATTTAACAGTTCCTTGTTGGCATACACTAGAACGTTTCTAATGTCTTCTGACTGATAATGCTGCAGGGAATTCCCCGGCGGTGTGTTCCCTGCTGTGTCCTGCCTCAGGAACCCAGTGTCCACGTGGACAGTCTTGCCAGTGCCCACTGCTTCTGCAGTCTCCTGTCCCCCTGCGGCCTCATCTCCCACGCCATTCAGGCCCCCACACCAGTGCCCAGGCACCTTGCCCTCTGACTTTTTTTCTTCTTCTTCGACCCTTGCTCCCCACTCTAGCACATAAAGGTTTTAGACCCCACCAGCGCATGCCCTGTGTGGACCTTCCCACGTTGTCCCCTCCTCCTCGCCCATCCTAGAGTATCTTTCCCCTCACCCTCTCACTCCTACTCACCTGGCACATCCTATCCCTGCTAAATCTAGCTCTTCCCCTGCTGGCAGCCTGCCCCCAGTGCCATCTCCTGTCCTCACTGCTGACCTGCTGACATTTGCACTTCTTAGAGGGGCCCTCCTCTGACCAAGGACAGCCACTGCTTCCCACCCAGAGACATCACTCCATCAATTTCCTCCTCACCTCCTGCATCTTCTTTTTTCCCTCTACTACTTCTATCCTTCTATCTTAAAATGTAAAAACCTACTCACTGTTCCTCTTCCCTCCTTCCAGGTCTTCTTGAGCTCACCCCCCTCAGGCTTTTACCTTTGGCACTCCTGCATGAAACAGCTCCCATCAAGGTCACCTGGCGCCTGTAGGTCTCCAGACCCCAATGTCAGGTCTCCATTATCACCTCCCCCAGCCTGCAAGTATCTGTAGCCTTCGATGTGTGATGTGCAATGACTTCCCGCCTCCCCTCCCGCCCTACCCACCCCCGCCACCAACCCAAGTGCCTCTTCTCTGGCCTTTGAGGATCTCCCCTCTCCTGAGTCACCTTATCTCCCCAGCCCCCAACTTGGGCTCCTTTCCCTGCTCCACATGCCACCACATGCCACCGCCTCCTCCATGGCCCAGCTGGCTATTAGGCAGCTCACATTTAAGATACCTGACAGCTCCTGCATCTTTGTCCCGAACTGCTCCTTCCTCCTAACTTCCCATCTCAACAGATAGGAATCCCATCCTTTAGCTCCCTAGGCCAAAGACACTGGAGTCATTCTGCACTTGCCTCACTTCCCCTTCTCAGTCCTGTTGGCTCTGCCTTGGGAATCAGCCCCAGACCCCAACTTTCCCTCAGCACCTCCATTGCTGCCCCCAGGGGCCCGGTGACTCCCTTCTTAGAGCCAGAGGGATCTCTTGAACACTTGAAGTCAGGTCATCAGGCTCCTGTTGCTACCTCCCAGTTCCCTCAGAGCAAACCCAAAGTCTGAAACTGCCCTCCGCACCGTCCCCCAATCCTCTGTGGGTCTTAATGCCTGGACTTTGTCCCACGTGGCACATAGCAACACATACTGAGCATGTAGTATGTGCTCAATAAATTCTGGTAGGGTGATTGAATTCATTCCCAGGGGTGGGATTGCTGGGGATGTGCACTTGTAGTTTTGAGAGAGATCGTCTAATTGCTCTGCACAGAGGTTGTTTCAGTTTTACTTCAGCCACCTACCTTCATAGTTTGCCTGTCACCAGACCCTCCTCCACATGTGCTCATCCTGTGATCATTGCTAGTGAGATAAGCATGGGCTTATTTTACTTCTAATTTGCCATTACAAGTGTTGTTGGCCATCATATCACAAAGGGCTAATTTCCTCATTATATAAAACAATTACTAAAAATGAGAAAACAAAAAAAATAAATAAAAAATAAAAAAAAATGAGAAAACAGCAGTCTGGGGAGAGAAAGGGTAAAAAAAATAGGAATAGACCATTCACAGAAAAAGAAAGCAAATGCTTTCAAATATGAGATATGTTTCTGAGCTTCTGAAATCCTTAGGTGTCTTTCCTTCATACCAAAGTTTATGTTTTCTTTTAGTATTTTTCTTTAGTATTTTGTTGTTTTGTTTTTTGTTTTTTTTTTAAAGATTTTATTTATTTGAAAGAGAGTGATGGAGGGCAGCCCCAGTGGCTCAGTGGTTTAGCGCCGCCAACAGCCCAGGGCGTGATCCTGGAGACCTGGAATCGAGTCCCACATCGGGCTCCCTGCATGGAGCCTGCTTCTCCCTCTGCCTGTGTCTCTGCCTCTCTCTCTCTCTCTCTCTCTCTCTCTCTCTCTCTCCTCTCCGTGTATTCTCATGAATAAATAAAATCTTAAAAAAAAAAAGCCCTTTAAAAGAACAAAAGAAAGAGCGTGATGGAGAAAGAGCACAAGTGGTGAGAGGGGCAGAGGGAGAGGAAGAAGCAGGCTTCCCACTGAGCAGGGAGCTCAATCCTGGGACCACAGGATCATGACCTGAGCCAATGACAGACACTTCACTGACTGAGCCACCCAGGCACCCCTAGTATTTTTCTGGTTTGATCTTTTTGCATAAGTTTCTGCCAGGTCTGGAATCTGTTTTGGTGGCAATTCTAAAGTAGGAGTCTAGGGCAGCCCCAGTGGCTCAGCGGTTTAGCACCACCTTCGGTCCAGGGCATGATCCTGGAGACCCGGGATCAAGTCCCACGTTAGGCTCCCTGCATGGAGCCTGCTTCTCCCTCTGCCTGTTCTGCCTCTGTGTGTGTGTGTGTGTGTGTGTGTCTCATGAATAAATAAATAATATCTTAAATAAATAAATAAAGTAGGAATCTAGCTTTAACCCTCCCAGCCCACCCAGAAGGTTGCCCAGTTGTTTCAGTAGCAGTCATATTGTTGGGTTGGTTTTTTTTAATACAGTGTCATATTTGTCAATGTCAAGGCCATATATATAGTGATCAAAAAGACAGCAGGAATTAAATGTCCTGTAGCAATCATGGAACCAGTTGTCACAGTGGCCAGCAGTGATCCAGACCTCAGACCACTCATGTGCTGGGGTTGAATGAGACAGTAACTAACTGTGGCATGGTGCGGTCTGTTGTAAAGGACTCGGGGCAGCAGGAAATGTTTTGTCCCGCCTCAGGGTGTTGGGAGAGCTCTTTAACCAAGAGTTGGCACTAGAGCCAGGCCTTCAGACAGTCAAGCTGCATTCTCTGGGCTTGGTGGTACATTCCAAGCAAGGGAACAGAGGCTTAAGAATATGTTTTTCTTTAGATATGGTGTCTAGTTTAATTGGCCAGAGCATGATCTGCAATGCTAGAGATTGTGAAAGGCAGGTAGGAAGGTAGATTGGAGCCCATTGGATAGGGGCTGTCGAGTACTACTGGGGTCTGGACTCCATTGGCCAATGGGTCTCAGGCCTATTTTGGATCAGAAAGATCTAGGGAACATGGCCTGGCATCTGCATTTTATAAAATGTCCCAGGGTGGGGCGCCTGGGTGGCTCAGTCAGTTGAGTGTGTGAGGACTCCTGATTTCAGCTGGAGTCATGATCTCAGGGTCCTGGGATCATGAGCCCTGAGTTAGGCTCCCTGTTCAGTGGGGAGTCTGCTTCTCTCCCTCTGCCCCTTCCCCGCCTGCATGCGATCTCTCTTTCTCTCTCAAATAAATCTTAAACAATGGGAACCCTGGGTGGCGCAGCGGTTTAGCGCCTGCCTTTGGCCCAGGGCGCGATCCTGGAGACCCGGGATCAAATCCCACGTCGGGCTCCCGGTGCATGGAACCTGCTTCTCCCTCTGCCTATGTCTCTGCCTCTCTCTCTCTCTCTCTGTGTGACTATCATAAATAAATAAAAATTAAAAAAAAATAAAATAAATCTTAAACAAAAACAGAAAATCTCCCAGGGCATCCCGAAGCTCCGCTGAGGTGGAGGTACTGCTCTCAGCCCTGGGGAGCAAACAGGTGTGCTCTGGGTGGAGGGCTGGCCATCTGCCCTACCCCAGCCTGTCAGTCCAGATCCAAAGGCCCCCAAGTCTTCCTAGCACGGATTTGGTGACATGACTGACCTGATGTCAGGGAGCCACATCAACTTCTGCCAAAGGAACCCAAATTCCCAAGGTGTTTGTTTCTAAGCCAGTTCCATTGCCCTGGTTTATCCCATGTCTTCTTTTTCGTTTTCTTCAGGTTTGTTTAAGTAAACTCTACACCCAGTGTGGGGCTTGAACTCACAACCCTGAGATCAAGAGTTACATGCTTTACTCACTGAGACAGCCAGAAACCCCTATGTGTGGAGTTTGGGTTTTGGGGGGGGGTTTGTTTTTTGTTTTTTTTAAGTAGGCTCCATGCCCAACGCAGAGCCCAACACAGGGCTTGAAAATTCACAACCCTGAGATCAAGACCTCAACTGATATCAAGAGTCAGACGCTTAACTGACTGAGCCACCCAGGAATCCCAAAGAAATTGTGTCTACTTGTGTTTTGCTTTTTGGGTTTTTAAAAAAGATTTATTTTTTGGGCACCCGGCTGGCTCATTTGGGTCCTGGGATTGAGCTCCTGCTCAGCGGGAGCCTGCTTTTTCCTCTCCCTCTGCTGCTACCCCTGCTTATTCTTTCTCTTTCATAAATAAATTAAAAATATTTTTTAAACATTTAAAAAATATTTATTTACTCAAGAGAGAGAGGGAGCATGTATGAGCAGGGGTAGAGACAGAGAGGGAGAGAGAAACCCAAGCAGACTCCCCACTGACCATGGAAACTGAGACAAGCCTCCGTCTCACTACCTTCAGGTCAAACTTGAACCGAAACCAAGAGTCTGATGCTCAACCAACTGCACCACCCAGGCGCCGCTGGTTTTTGTTTTTTTATTTTATTTTTTTATTTTTTTTATTTTTTTTTTGGTTTTTGTTTTTTTAAAATGAGTTTCCTTCTTGGTGGTAGGGGTTCCATTAGAAGCATTTGTTTTCTGTGTGTCTTTCTTCTCTTTAGGAGTCAGCATTGATGGTAGTGTTGAGCTGCAGAAGAGCAGTTTCTGAACTTCATCACCATCCCTCTGAAACTGGAGTGTGAAGGGCCAAAGCCCCGGGCAGCTTTCAGACAAGATGAAGACCGTGCTCATGGTTGCAGAAAAGCCATCCTTGGCCCAGTCCATTGCTAAAATCCTCTCTCGGGGTAGGGCGGGTTTGTGGGAGGAATCACTAAACATGGTCATTTCTTTCTTTTTCTGGAGTGTGACTCCAGCCCTCTGGAATTGACTTGGTTCAGGACAGTGGGTGTTACTGAAGCATCTCAGTATTAGTTTTTGTGGGTGCATTTACTGCTACATCCAGTGTGCGGTCCAGGACTCCCAAAAGGTACAGACGCCATTCACAGCATAGCACCGGGCAGTCCACTGTTGGTCATAAAACAGCACCCAGCCCTGGTAACTTACACAAAAAGAGAATTCACTAGAAGGAAGAATACAGAGCCAAGATCTCACCCTGGTCTAAGTCTGAGGCCATGCCACAGACAGCATCGCCACAGGAGCTTTGCCACTGCCCTCAACCACTATAGCTGCAGCCTGTGTGCCTCATGTCACTCAAGAGCAGCATTAGGCTGGCCCTGGTGTATAGCCCTCCTGAGACACCAGGGCACTAAGGGGACATCTGTCCCTTAACTCCATCCTGGCCACTGGGGTAGTTGGTGGGGTGCTCCTTTCCTTCCTATCTCTGACTTCCCTCCAGATAGGAAGGGTGCTTGGGTGCTCTGGGTACCTAGAAATGGCCTATGTCCACCGTGACCTCCCCTAGGCTAGGACAGTGGGCTGGTGTCTCTTTGGAGGGGAGGGGAGAGCTGAGAAGTGCCCGATTCACAGAAGCTAAGAAAGTTCAGCTGAGAGGCTGTCAGTGGGGAGCATGAGAAGATGTCAAGGGACTTGGTAATGAGGAGGTCCATGGAGACCTGGTGAAGTTTGAAAGAAGTGAGGCAGAAATGAGAGGAAGGGCCCAAGCGTCTGCTGTGGAGAGTCTTCAGAGAGGGTGCTCCTGGCCTTCAGCTGGCCCAGGGCTCTGCGTGGTGAGCATACCGTGCTGGTTGGTTAGCAATGAGTGGTGTTCCCCTGAGGACCACGACATTCGTCAGCACTGTTACATGCAGTGGCCTAAGGAACGCTGCCACTGACTGCTCTGGGGAAGGGGGACTCTGGCCCTGTGAGTGGTGGCTTCTGGGTCTGGGGCCTCTGTGGTGGCTGTGGCCTGCTGGAGCAGCCATCACTGTGCTTCTCTGCAGGAAACATGTCCTCCCACAAAGGGCTGAACGGAACATGCTCCGTGCATGAGTACAGCGGGACCTTCGCTGGCCAGCCTGTCCGCTTCAAGATGACATCCGTCTGTGGTCATGTGATGACCTTGGATTTCCTGGGTGAGCCCCCTGCACCTTGCCCAACCCCTATCCCACTGAGGGAAGCCCGGCAAAGTGCTGCCCCAAGTCTAGATGGAGCCAGGGAGGGCTCCAGGCAGACAAATTAGTGCAGAGCCCATGAGTCTTGAGGCCAGCAGGTCCTGGGTCACCTAGAACCCAGGTTTTAGAGCTCAATGCCCGTGGGTCCCCATCCCAGAGGCACCCCTTAGTCACTGCATGCCCTATGCTCCTTCCTGTGCTTCGTAGAGGTGGTGGATGCCCACCTCAGAGGGGCTGGCCCATGCAGGCATTTGGGAGGTGAATGTGACTGTTGTCCAGTGGTCGTTTGGTGGCTGTCATTGTCATCTTTGTTATCTGTTACCTTGGAAGGGCCAGCATTAGTGACCCAGCAGAGCCACATGCAGGGCCCTGTGGTTGATGAGAGACTCCAGCCTAGGCTCTGTCTCATACTCTACAGGCTCATGGGCTGGGACTGGAGCCTCTAGAAATTTCTGTTCCACATATATGATGTTAGTCTTACGATAGTGCCATCCACTTCCTAGAATTGAGGACTCAGTGTGACGGTGAAGGAAGAGAGCTTAGTGCACAGCAAAGTCTCAATACTTCTTGTTGCCCAGTGACAACAAGGACATTGATTCAGTCGTGTGGCCAAGCATTTGGACTCTTGAGTTTTATCACCAGCCAGCAGGTGGGGAACTGGGATTTGAACTTGACTCTGTATGACCCCGTTCTCCCAGGCTGTACGAAATGGGGACAAAAAGAAAGCCAGAGGGCTAAGCTCTCAAGCACTGAGCACTGAGTAGAGAAGTAGGTAGATGTACCAGACACGAAGCCCAAGAGACTGATTCCCCATGGGGTTCCCCTGAGCACCTGTCACGTGTGCAGTCAAGTGCTGGGTAGGGGGAGAGTTGCAGCTATTCAGGCTGGAAGAGAAGACAGGTAGGAGGGGTGTGGTTCAGTGCTCTGGGCAAAGTGAGCCAGCCCAGGAATGGCGCTCCAGCCACAGGGCATGTCCTGAAGTGAGGCTGGAGCAGCAGCAGCCCTGCCCAGCGGTGGCTCCTGGAGGTGACCAAGGTGTGGTGTCACCTCAGCAGCCCAGGGGAATGAAGGCCCAGCTCTGCCTCCAATTGTGGGGTTCCCCTGGGCAAATTGTTCTCCAAGCCTCCCTCTCCTCCTGAGCCTATGACAATTGAAGAGATCAAGCTTGGTGAGCCAAGAAGTGTGATTCAGCTGTCACTGTGGCTATGGTTTGTAGGAAAGTACAACAAATGGGACAAGGTGGACCCCGCAGAGCTGTTCAGCCAAGCCCCAACAGAGAAGAAGGAGGCTAACCCCAAGCTGAACATGGTGAAGTTCCTGCAGGTGTGTGGGCGTGCTAGGGCATGGGCACTTGAGAAGCCTCTACTCTGGGCCCTCTGCACTGCAGGTGGTCTCCCGAGTCCTCCTCTCTTTCATGAACTGGAGGCCTTTGCTGGAAGCCCTGGGTGGGCCTCGCAGCCCTTTCTGTGAGCTCCCCCTGCTGGCCCACGAGGCACCTTTCAGGCTGTTCTCACAACCATCCACTGGCCCACCTGGGCAGCCGTCACTCAACCCTGGAGAGCAGAAATTCTGCTTTTTTTTTTTTAAAGATTTTATTTATTTATTCATGATAGTCACACAGAGAGAGAGAGAGAGGCAGAGACACAAGCAGGCTCCATGCAGGGAGCCCGACGCGGGACTCGATCCCGGGTCTCCAGGATCGCGCCCTGGGCCAAAGGCAGGCGCCAAACCACTGCGCCACCCAGGGATCCCGAAATTCTGCTTTTTAAACTGTTTTTTGGTGGTGGCGGTTTTTCTAATCCTAAATGCACACACATTATGGGAAATATTAAAAAGTAGAAGGAAGAAAAAATATATAATCACACTACCTAAGACAACCACCATTAGGCTTATTTCAGCCCTCTTCCCATGCAGTTTTGGGGGTTAAGATCATTTTGCATTTATAATTTCACTGTGTCCAAAAAACAAAGTCCTGAATGAAGTTCTCTGAGTGGCTAAGGCAGCCTAACTGCGTCTAGCGCCGCTGCTCAGCCAGGGCCCAGTCTGGGTGGCAGTCCTGCTCCATGGGGCTCAGGGTGCAGGTGGGAGCACCGTCGGTGGGCACTACGGGCCAGGCCACGGAGGGGCCAGTCACTGTGTACTCTGTGGCAGGTGGAGGGCAAAGGCTGCGACTATATTGTGCTGTGGCTGGACTGTGACAAGGAGGGAGAGAACATCTGTTTTGAGGTAAGAGGGGGCCCACCGCTGTCCTTAGTTCGAGCCTTCCCACTGACCTGTCCTCGCATTTGCGCCATCCCGGGGGTGCGGCTGGGAATCTGCTGCGTTGCCTTAGAAATGCCTTTTTTTCCTCCTTTAGTTTGGAAATTGCATAGACACTTTGAAATGTATGGACTCTGCCAAGGGCAGAGGGGTATTACCTATTCCCCTGCTCGGGTGCACTGTGTGAGCAAACATACAGAGGGCAGAATTTTCTCAGTGAATGGGAGGGTTTTCAGGCCTTCTGGGCACCTCTCAGGGACCTATGGCCAAAGCTGGTTGCCACTTAGCTACCTTTCTTCCTGCTTTTCTCACTTCCGGCCTTCACCGTCCCTCCAAGATGCCATCAAGCCTCCCCCTCTCGTCTTGTTTCCACCCTCCCTGCAAGGACACAGGTGTCTGCCTCTGTTGTGGCTGTGACGCCCTCACACGGCTCCTGACTGCAGGTGTCCCCTGGTGCAGCTCATGCTCCTGCCTCTTGCACCCCCAGTTCTCACCCAGAGCCTTTTACACTTTGGGGCTCAGGAAATGCTTCCTGTGTGGCAGAGGGAGCTCAGGACACCCCAAGTTCCAGCACAGCACCCTCAGTCAACATGATCACGCTTTGTCCCTTCCCAGGTACTCTTGTCCTGGCCCCACCCCTATGGGGCTGCTCCTTCCCTGGGGGCGGAAGCTCAGGGGGCTTTCTCCCCTCAGCAACAAAGGCACCCCCCACCAAAGAATCTACATGGCCAGGGTCCAGTGTGACTGCCCTCCCACTGCACAGCCTTCGTAGTGAGTCTGGCTCCAGGCCCCCTGCTGGGCTTATCCCTCAGTCCCTAAGGTGGGAGTCCCCTGTGCCCTCCCTGCTCCTGCCCTTTGTTTTTTCCTCTTCATTCTGTTTTCCCTCCCTGGCTTTTCTTCAGCCTCTTAAGAGTTCCACCCACCCCTCTTTGCACTCTGCCCTCTAGAAGGAAGGGAAATGGGTCAAGTGGGGTGGATTTCATGACTGAGTTTCCCTGTGTCGTGGCATTAGCATTTCCTGGTTTGACAGGGGTGAAGGCAGATGAGAGAAAGTGGTAGTAAGGGGGGTGTTTGAACAAGTTTGTTAGTGGAAGGAAAAGAAGCCATGTAGCAGGAGTGGTGTGGAGAGACTGAGACTTCTGGACAGGGAAGGAGGTGGAGGAGGGTCTGGCAGGATGGAGAGGAAGTTACACCAGCAAGGTTCAGCCCCAGAGAGGAGCCCTCACATGAGAGGCGTGGAGGCAGAGATTTGGAAGGTGAGTGACAGCTGGGCTGCCTCCCCCAGGTCCTGGACGCTGTGCTGCCCGTCATGAATCCAACCCATAGTGGCGAAAAGACCGTGTTCCGGGCTAGGTTCAGCTCCATCACAGACACGGACATCTGTGCCGCCATGGCCCGCCTGGGCGAGCCAGACCACAACGAGGCGCTGTCGGTGGACGCCAGGCAAGAACTGGACCTGCGCATCGGCTGTGCGTTCACCAGGTGCCGGCTGCCCTCCCTTTGGCGAGGGCTCCTGCCTCACGGGTCCCCATTTGCTGCCCCTGGGCCTGGTTAGTACTAGGCCAGTGTCCATATTCTAAAAACCCTGAAGGCAACTGTCTCTCTGGCTGGTCAGACCACACAAGGCACCACTTGATAAGCAGGGTGTTTGTCTCACTGCATGGGTCTTGAGGAGAGGGTAGAGGGCTTAGAATATAATAGAAGGGTTTCCCAGCCCCAGGATGGGTGGAAACTCTTCTCTCTTGCCTTCCGTGCCATGTGTGCAAACACATGATTCCTCTCTACCCACACACACCTTTCCCGGCCCCTGTGCTGAGCCACATTCTCACTCTGTCCCCTGTCTTCTGAGCAGGGGCACTGCCGCCAGCTGGCCCCATGCTGGACTCAACGTGGGCGATTAATGATGGTCGCTTTGAGTGCATACGTGACCAGAATATCTTTCTCTACCCCATGTCTCCTTGTAGATTTCAAACTAAGTACTTCCAGGGAAAATATGGCAATCTAGACAGTTCCCTCATCTCCTTTGGGCCATGTCAAACCCCTACCCTGGGCTTCTGCGTGGAGAGACATGATAAAATCCAGTCCTTCAAACCGGAGACGTACTGGGTGCTGCAGGCCAAGGTTTGCTTTCCCTTCCCTACACACGCTGGGTCTTTCCAGGTTCGGGCTGTGGACTCTGAGGGTCTTCTATCATCATCCAGCCCATTAAACCCCCGAGGCCAAGGGCACAGAGGAGGGACGCCAGAGTGGTCTGTGGGGTGCTCAGGGAAGGGATCCCAGCCTTCATAGGCCTGAATGCATTGAATTTAGAGAGGCAAGAATGAACTCAGCCTTGAGGGGGAGGGGGCCGGGTAGATCATGCCTCAGAACAGTCAGCTGTGATGGTCAGGTCCGAGGTTTGGACCAAGGGCCATAAGCCACTGACTTTCAGACTTTTTGAAGTCTTAGAACCATTTCTCCAAATAATGCCGTCCGTGTAAGCTTCTTACAGGATTTAAAGCAATACAGAGCTGGTCTGGTTGACATAGGGCTGGGGCCCCCTGTAAGGACTACACCTAGTGCTGGCCAGGTGTCAGAGGGTGGGCAGGGATGGCATTTGTGATGGAGGTTCCAATACCCTTAAGGATACAGCAGCCTTGGCTCTGGGCTCCCCTTATGAGACTACTTGCCTAATCTCAGGGGAGAGGCCTGGAGTCAAGGCAGCCTTTCCTTGGGACAGGGCCGGGTCTCAGCCTACATATCTGTGCACCTCTGCACACCCGTATAGGTATGGCTTTGAGACCTTAGAGCCGGGACCATTTTCTTCCCAGAGGAGGACCAGCTTCATCTACCTCGATTCTCTTCCCTGGCAGTGTGTGCTCACCTGGACATTTTCTTTCCTGTCGTCTGCCTTTGTACTTTTTCTTATAGGTCAGTGCCGATAAAGACAGATCTCTTCTTTTGGACTGGGACCGAGTACGAGTGTTCGACCGGGAGATCGCACAGATGTTTTTAAACATGACAAAGCTGGAGAAGGAAGCCCAGGTGGGCCTGCCCCATGTGTATCTGTCACGTTTGCTCGGAGCAGGGGTAGACCTTGGATGCCTCTGGCTAGAAGAGTAGCTCGTGACCTAGGGTCCCATCCTTCTTTCCTTTCTGGAAATAGACATCTTGTAGAAAGATGGATAGTTATTGATGCAAGCAGTAACTGTGTGCTACATTCCTGCTCTGTACCAGGCATTGCCCCACATCCACGACCTGCAGCCCCTATCCATGTGACCCCAGGGGCATTATCTCTTTTTGGCAGGACTCCATTTCACACCAATGTGCCTTTTCTGTGATACGGACGCTAACAACTCTAGAGGGACCTGTGTGCACGTCAGTGAACTCGGCTGAGGTCATACAGCTAGCATGGGATATCCCAGCCTCAGTCAGCTTTCCTGGCCTTTATGGTGCTGTGTTTTTTACTCAGGTTTTTTATGAATTTGAGAGTCATGTGCTGGGCTTTTAGGAAGAGGGTGATGCCACCTGGCAGGGGGCTGGCTGCCTGGGGTGGAGGCAATTCCACCACCACTGCAATGGCCCACAGCCTTACCAGCTACCACAGTTGTGCAGGTACGGCCTGGCCTTCTTCAGCTGCTTTCTCGTCCTTTTCAAGATTTCCTTGGGTGCCCTCTGCTTAGACATGCAATTGATGGAGGCTTCCAGAACTTCCTCCAAAGCTGCTTCACACTTTTTTTTTTTTTAAGATTTATTTATTTATCCATGAGAGACACAGACTGAAAGAGAGAGGCAGAGACATAGGCAGAGGGAGAAGCAGGCTCCTTGCAGGGAGCCAGATTTGGGACTCAGTCCTGGATCCCAGGATCACAACCTGAACCGAAGGGCGCCACCCAACCGCTGAGCCATCCAGACGTCCCTGCTTCACGCTTTTATCCTCGATCATGTTCTCAGGATACCCCTCGCCACCATCTCCAGGTCTCACCCATAGTGATCCCAGCTTCCACTGCAGCACACACCCATTTTGGACTAAATTTGCCCCCACATTTGTCCTTCTGGAATCCACAAGGCACTGCCCTAATGCGTGGCTGGTGTCTGTGGTGTTGGGAGGGGCAAAGCATCACAGTTGTTTGGATTGTATTAGCCACAGGCAAGACAGTCCTCTATTCTGACAACTGTTCAGCCCAGAGTTTGTAGCTGATTGATATTTTATTTAAACTACATGCTGTTTACAAACATTTCAAAACAGTTACCAACATTGGAAAACTACAAGATTTCACATAAAATGCCTGATTTGCAGCTTTTGTTGACAAACTGGAAGATGTAGCAACACCAGTAACCCCTGGTGGGAGCACTTGGGTGCACTGAGAGGCAAGTGGCTGCCCAAGGTGGGCCTGCACTCCGTGGCCTGCCTCAGGCCTCACCTGCCGTCCCATTGGCCTGGCTGTCTCTGGCTCCTGTAGGATTTTGAGTTTGTAATCCCTTCTGACTCTTCCCCATTCTTCTGTTTTCTCTTTCCCTAGAAAGTTCCCCAGAAAAGAATTTTCTTTCTTTTTCCCTTCCTCAGACTGAATACATAGTCAAGTCTTGAGACCACGGAGAAGAGTGAAATTGAGAAGCAGGGAGACCAATTGAATGAAACCAGACCCTTCGGCCCACACATCCTGATTCTCTATTGTGGTGTCTTTGCTCCTGCCACCCCGAATCCCTGAACCTATTCTGTCTCGTAGGTGGAGGCTACGAGCAGGAAAGAGAAAGCCAAGCAGAGGCCCCTCGCCCTCAACACTGTGGAGATGCTGCGTGTCGCTAGCTCTTCTCTGGGTATGTAGGGATGTTCCTCTAAAGCCCACAAAAGACTTCCTGGGTGGGACACAGTGAGCCATTCAGCCCTGGTGCAGTGCCTAGGGTTGCAGGGCAGCGCTGATGCTCTCACCTCTGCCAGCACTCTCCCTCCACGCTCACCCGTGCCGAGTGTTTCCCGCCGCCGCCCCCACTCACCTGTGCTGAATAGCCCCTTGCATGTTAACCTGTGTCAAGCCACAGCCCACCTGCAGTATCTTGCAAGACTTAGTGGGAATCTGAGCCTAATGCTGAGCTAATTTCTCTTAAATTCCAGAGTGGAAATAACTAATAACAAACTAACAAACATGCAGGAGGATCCCATTTCAGAGGATTATTGGTTAATACTCAACAGCTTCTTTGAATTTACATGGAGAAAAGTGAGACTGTTTTTTATTACTAGACATCCATGCAGCTGCTGCCAGGGCTGATCACATGGAAGGCCGTGGTCAGGGACCGCCTGCAGGGCAGGCCCTCGCATGTCATTGGCTCAGTAGAGTCCCCGCAGAGGCATTAGACCATGGAGTTCCAGCTCCAGACCGAGCTCTGGTCCGAGCTCAGCTTGGCTACTTGCTTTCTTGTCCCAGAGCCTATTTCCTCACAGGAAAACAAGGCAAACACTGTGACCATCTCTGTGGGTGGGTTCTGAGGATGAAGTGGTTGAAATGGCGCATCCTCGCAAGACCAGAGGGAATGATAGCCACTATCCGAGAGGGGCATCCTGGCATTAGCACCCCAGAGCAACTTCCCCAGGGTAGGGAGAGGCCGAGGGTAGGAGGTCGGCGCTCCAGGCTTGTGTTCTGCAAGCGCAAGTGTGACCAGCGTTGGTATACTTCCCCGAGCCTCGTTTCCATGGTCATGAGAAGGGGTTTGGCAATCTCTGACAGCTATGGGCCTCAAGGCATTGGTGGCCTCTGCAGCCTGAGGAAGCTGGCCAGTGTCCTTGCAGAATGGCCCCTTCGGAGATCCTCAGGGGGCAACAGTGACATTGATGGATAGCTGAGGGCCAGGCCCTGCTGGTCAGGGAAAAGCAGAAAGACAAGCTCTCCCTCAGGGGTCCCAAAGCGCCTCAAGGACAGAAACACCCAAGGGGCTCAGAGCAGGGAGCATGTGCTAATAATTCTCTGTCTGACTGGGACATCAGCAAACCCGGAGGCTGACCCCATACACTCCATGGCCAGGGTATGAGAGATCGGCACTCTCAGGGCACATTTCATCAACATAGCCACTAGTGTCATGAGAGTGACACTGGAGCATCCCTCTCCTGAGTCCACCTTCACAGGTTCAGGGCCTCCGCCTTGGATAATCTGTACAGACACTGGTGCCTGGCCATCAGCTCTGGGCTCTAGCTGTGCCCATTCAGAACCACCCTCACCTACCAGGAGGCTCTGGCCACCTTTGGTGGGGAGCCTGAGTGCCCTGGCTTATGGGCAGGGACCTAGTCACCCCTGGCATCCTGATCCAGCTGAGCCTGCCATCTCTCACAGGCATGGGGCCACAGCATGCCATGCAGACCGCCGAGCGCCTCTACACGCAAGGCTACATCAGCTACCCGAGGACTGAGACCACCCACTACCCCGAGAACTTTGACCTGAGGGGCCCTCTGCGGCAGCAGGCCAACCACCCCTACTGGGCCGACACGGTGAGCAGAGCCACTGTGCACACTTGTTGCTGGAGTCTTGGGACCAGCCCAGACACTTTGGCCAAAGCCAGAACTGATGCTGGCCCCCTCCATGTTGGGGAGGGGCAGGGGTAGCTGTGCCCAGACTCACACACTGCCTTGTCTTCTCTCCCTCAGGTAAAGCGCTTGTTAGCGGAAGGTATCAACCGGCCACGGAAAGGCCATGATGCCGGCGACCATCCTCCCATCACCCCCATGAGGTCTGCCACAGAGGCTGAATTAGGTATTGGGCACTCCTCCCAACACTCAACACACACACATACACACAGCCCAAGCTTCTGGGTTGGAAGCTACAGTCACACGGCCCCTTTGGACAGTGTCAGGCCCCACTGGCAATGTGGAGGCTCCCTCCCTCTCCCACCTGCCCTTGGCTGTGGCAGAGGGGGTCACCTGAAAGTTGTGTTCTGTGGCATGAGACAAGGCAGGAGTGAAGTGGTGGCAGCAAGTGTGTGGTGGTGTACCTGAGTGCAGGGGGCAGGTGGCTGCTCGCAGGAGGCAGGAAGATGAAACAGATGGGCAAAGACAGAACAGGACAGTACCGAGATAGGGAGTGCTAGGGCCCAGTCTTGCCACCTGACCAAGCCAGTGCTGGTGGCCTGTGTCCTGGGAGGAGGCAGAGAAAGGGGGAACTGTATAGGTAGAGACAGGAGCCACTGTGCACAGCCCAAGTTTCAGGTGATGGTGGCAAGTCACTACCTGTGGACTGGCCAGGCCCTGAAGAACAGTCCCACTAAAAGCAGGCTAGAAGATGGGAGCCTCGTTTTCCCTTCCTGTGTTTCCTCCTCCTCTCTCGAGCTTCGGTGCAGGCCAGCCCTACTATCCTGTGCCGACAGCCAGGGTCCTGCTGCCTGAGTGAGAGCGCTGGGGGAGCCAGAGCCCCCAGCCCGTGACCAGCTCCCGTGCCTGTTGCAGGGAGTGAGGCGTGGCGGCTCTATGAATACATCACCAGACACTTCATCGCCACGGTTAGCTATGACTGCAAGTACCTCCAGAGCTCCATTTCCTTCAGAATCGGGCCTGAGCGCTTCACGTGCACGGGGAAAACCGTCATCTCTCCAGGTAAAACTGCAAGTGCCAGCGTGGCTTCTCCCAAACCTCCACAGACAGACGGAACATTCTCCATCGGGCCTGGGCTGCCTGGGATGGGACCCTGAGGGGCAGCACCCTGTCTCCCCAGGCTTCACGGAGATCATGCCTTGGCAGAGTGTGCCTCTGGAGGAGAGTCTGCCCACCTGCCAGAGGGGCAACTGCTTTCCCGTGAGTGAGATGAAGATGCTAGAGAAGCAGACCAACCCGCCCGACTACCTGACAGAGGCTGAGCTCATCACACTCATGGAGAAACACGGCATCGGTGGGTGCGCCTGCCCTGCTGCCTGCCCCAGCCCCGGGCCCAAAGGTCTCCATCCCAGGACTGGGGTCCAGGAGACGGTGCATCCAGAGCTTCCCAGTGACCCGTCTGTGCCCAGCACCTGGTAACTGGGACCCAGGTTGTGGTCAGCTCCCCAGGCAGTGTTCACTCTGATGGGAAGTGCCTGTTCCCTGATGTGCCGCACCAGCTACGTGGCTCTGTACCTGCTGCTGTACCTGGCTTCTGCTCTGTCACCAACAATCGTGACAGGTGACTGGCAGGGAACATCTCATCTGAGGCTGGGGTTCTGGTGACAGTGGAGACCTCAGCTGAAGAGCTGAGCCTACTTCTACCGGGGGCCTGGGTCCTCAGGTACAGATGCTGTGGGGTGTGGGTGCTGCTCCCCCAGCATCCTCTGTCTTTCCCCATTGACAAGACATCCATGGCTCCCCAGACCCCATGACCAAAATGAGTTTGTGTCTGCAAAGAGGACTCTTGAGACCTCCTGAACAAGATGGGGGGCCAGGAGGCCCCAGGGCTGCATGAAGAGGCTCTCCCTAGGGGGGAGCTGCTGCTCCAGCAGCTAGCAAGAATGCAGCAGGCACAGAAGGGTATGTGCTGGGTTCAGATCCCAACCCCAACATCATCCTTCAAGTGTGGTACCTCAGTGGTCTCCTTAGCCTCTGAGCACCATCTAAGGGGGCTTCTCAGCACGGGGGTGCAATAAAGGCAGCATCTGGCAGTGCCAGGTGACCCCGAAGTCTCTAGGGGAGATGCCGCCTTAGAAACCAATCACGGGATCTAGGAGCCAGAACATGGGCCATACTGAGCAGGTTTCAGGGGTCAGTTTGGCAGCGAGCATGGGAGTCTCTGTGTTCAGGGGTTTTGAGTCCTGGTTCCAGAAGGATGGGTGGCTCAGGATTGAGGCAGGAGCAACCAAGGAGGTCATATTTACCAGGTGTGAGGGGCAAGTAAAATGAGCTCCCGTGACCCTGGCGGAGTTCCTTAACCTCTGTGAGCCTCTTGTCTTAGAGGAGGATTAAGCACCCGGCGCTGGACCTGGGAGGGCCATTCTTGGGTTCATAAGATGATTCTTGAAACACACGCAGTGGTGCCCTGCATGGTACTAGCCGGAAGCAGAGGGAGGGAGCTGTGAACCAGGGGTCCTGGGGCAGGTGGGGCAGAGGTGGAGCCTGGCATGGCGGGGAGCAGGTGGCGGAACAGCAGGGCATTGGCATGTTTCAGGGACAGATGCCAGCATCCCCGTGCACATCAACAACATCTGCCAGCGCAACTATGTCACTGTGGAGAGCGGGCGCCGCCTCAAACCCACCAACCTGGGCATCGTCCTGGTGCACGGCTACTACAAGATTGGTGAGTCCGGCTGGCTGCTGCCTGGGCTGTGACGGCACGTTTTTCAGCCCACGGCCTTTGTGGGGCCCCCTATGCGAGGCCCCAGCTCCCACTGCAAGGATGCCACACCAGCCCCCTCAGGATGTGCCCCAGGAGGGACTCCGTGCGGTTGGTGGAGGAACGGACAAGGGCAGAGAATCCAAAACAGGAGGTGTTAGGGGGCTCCAGGTGGGGCGTAGGTCCTCCTTTGGAATTGTGCGCTCTGTTCCCCGAGAGGTTCCAAGGGGACCAAGGAAGATGGCAGAGCACAGACCTGGCCTGAGGAGTTCCAGGAACTGTGACACAGTCCTAGAGATGGGGTGTCCCTGGCCCCTCCACACAGGATTTTCTGGGTAGATCAGGAAAGGCCCGGGGTCTCCGGGCTCCAGCCTGAGTTGTTAGGGGCGACCACGGGCACTCGGTGCGTGTGCTCACGGGGCCCCCGCCACTTGCAGATGCAGAGCTCGTGCTCCCCACCATCCGCAGCGCAGTGGAGAAGCAGCTGAACCTGATCGCCCAGGGCAAGGCTGACTACCGCCAGGTCCTGGGCCACACGCTGGACGTCTTCAAGAGGAAGTTCCACTACTTCGTAGACTCCATCGCCGGTGAGGCCCGCTCTTTCCCTACCACTGGGCCAGAGGCTCCTGGGCCAGGGCCATCATGGCTGTGCGGGACCAGCATCGAGATTTGGGTTCTGGGCTCTGGGACTCCATTGGGAGAGCGAGGCCGTGGGTTCTGGGCAGTCTTCGGGGCTAAGGAGCGGACGTCTTAACACCACTCGCGAGGCACCCAGCTCAGGTGACCAACAAGGCTGCAGCTCTGCCATCCTGTTCCCCCCCGCACCTTCGGGGATGGAGACACGCTCACTCAGATCCGCGCCCACTCACGGTGCCTTCCCCTCCACCTGCCTGTCAGAGGTGGAGGTGGGCTGCCGGGAGCCTGGAGGATGTGACTCTTCCCCGCACTGCTTGCCCTCAGGGATGGACGAGCTGATGGAGGTGTCTTTTTCACCCCTGGCGGCCACGGGCAAGCCCCTCTCCCGCTGTGGAAAGTGCCACCGGTTCATGAAGTACATTCAGGTAAGTGGGGGTGAAGGGGCACCCACTGCCCCTTCTGGCCCCCGGCCCCCTATGCACAGACTCGGGTAAGTCTGGCCGCCTCCAGAGGCCTCTACTTTACCTTTGGTCATGCAGGAGTCTTTGTCCTGGCTGTCATTCAGGCACGAGTGGCCTATGACAGCCTTGCCCACAAACCCCCACAGTGCACCCCTGACCCCAGGAACATGTAAAGCTGTGAGGCTGCATAAACACACTGGCTGTTTTTTCCTGACAACACATTATTTGCCATCCTGGGTATTAACATACGTGCAGGGATTATTAGAACTGCCTTTCTTCACACACGCAGCAGGTATCCTGAGACTGGTCCTGGCCTGAGAGGTCGTTACCTGGCAAAACGTTACACGTTACGCATTATGTATTGTATGTTACGTATTACCCTGTGTCTGTATTCCTCGTCATATGTAGAGATATACACGTGAATTATGCATGAGGTCTTACACAGTACTCCTGTATCATGTAAACAGTGTATTAGGCTGCATATATGATATATGTAACTGTATTTATTACATGGTGTATTTTCTGTATCATGTATAACTTACACACAACTTGTTACATATTGTATGTTTGTGTCAAGTATCATGTTATATATTACATATTATATATATTAGGCATTACATGTTACCTGTTACCTCCATATTCTGAGAGGGTGGGCAGGAGAGTTGGGGGCCTCATGACCCCAGGCTCCCTCCCTGGTGTCACTGCAGGCCAAGCCAAGCCGCCTACACTGCTCACACTGTGACGAGACCTACACCCTCCCCCAGAATGGCACCATCAAGCTCTACAAGGAGCTCCGGTGTCCACTGGATGACTTCGAGCTGGTCCTGTGGTCATCGGGCTCTCGGGGCAAGAGCTACCCACTGTGCCCCTATTGCTCCAACCACCCGCCCTTCCGAGACATGAAGAAAGGTGAGTGCCAGTCTCTGGGCCTCAACTGCTTGCCCCAAGGCAAGGCTGCCCCATCCCCCCTGGGTGTCTGTGGTGCCTCTTCAGCCCTAGCCCCTGCCCCACATTATGCTGGATTCTTAGGGGCCTTCCCCTGTCCCAGCCCCCTCGCTGGCACAGGGATAGGAGACCTAGGGTGTATTTGGCCTTGCTGAGGCATAGCCAGCCAGCCTGCCACTACTCATCGCAGTCCAAATTGAGCAGGCAACTATAGTTAGCTCACTCGAGATCTGGGCAGTAGGCGCAATGAGCCCCCATCCTGGGCTAGGATGAGAGAGGCTACAGCAGGTTGAGGGGCCCTCGTGGCAAAGGGTGCACCCTCAGCATTCACCACTGTTCTCTATTCTCTCAGTTATTACTGGAGAAAGGAGAAAATGTGTCCAAGTGGGACGAGGATCTGGGGGCGAGGGAGTTCCAGAGCCCAGCTCACTCACCCTTGCTGTGCTGTCTCCATTATACCTCATTCAGCCCCTGGGGTATCATCATCCCATGCTATAGACAAGAACAAGGTATAGCAAGAGGCATCTACCCACATTCACCTGGGGGCCTGGGCAGCCCTCAGGGGTCTCAGTGCACCCCTTCTGACTCAAGCTTCACTTATGAGACAGGAGCAGTCTGCATTTGAGCTGCTGGGGTCACTGAGGCCCTTCCCTGACCTCCAGCATCTTCCAGGGAAACTAATGGCCACGTGTGACCTAGTGGCATAAGAGCTACTTGGAGCTCCTGGGAATTAGCTGTGGAAGGGGAGGATGGACGTGGCTGGAGGCCACCAGGAAGGCCTTTTGGAAATGATTGAGGGGTTGGTACTCAGAGGTTGAGGAGGTTTTAGAGAAACAGAGAAGCAGGGCCAATGGCAGCGGGGGAATCCAGAGCCAGGGTGAGCAAGGTAGAGAGGAACACTTTCTGTTAGGATGAAGGATCTGGACTGTGAGGGCCTGGGAGAAGGCCCTGGGGGGTGAGGGCCTGGGGGTGCACATCACGGGCTGTCCTCTCCCCGCCAGGCATGGGCTGCAATGAGTGCACACACCCCACCTGCCAGCACTCACTGAGCATGCTGGGCATCGGCCAGTGCGTGGAATGTGAGAGCGGCGTGCTGGTGCTGGACCCCACCTCAGGCCCCAAGTGGAAGGTGGCCTGCAACAAGTGCAACGTGGTGGCGCACTGCTTTGAGAACGCCTACCGTGTGCGGGTGTCCGCCGACACCTGCCCCACCTGTGAGGCTGCCCTGCTCGCCGTGGACTTCAACAAGGCCAAATCCCCGCTCCCAGGTGATGAGACACAGCACACAGGCTGCGTCTTCTGCGACCCTGTCTTCCAGGAGCTGGTGGAGCTGAAGCACGCAGCCTCCTGCCACCCCATGCACCGGGGAGGGCCAGGGAGGAGGCAGGGCCGAGGGCGGGCTCGGGGCCGGCGGCCCACAGGGAAGCCCAGTGCCAGACGGCCAAAGGACAAGATGTCAGCCCTGGCTGCCTACTTTGTATGACGGCCCCGCCAACCCTCACCAGGCTCCACATAGTTTCCTGCGGGCCACGGAAATCATTAAAATGCAGTTTGTCTTCTTCAGAGCAAGCAGCTCGGGACCTCTCACTGGTGCCAGAGGGTTGTGGTGTCCTCACTGCCCATCTCTTCCCTGCCCCACCTCTCCCTTCATTCTGCACACACCTCCTGAGTGCCCTTGCTCTGCCCGCACGCTGGCGGTGCTTGTAGGAAGGCCACCAAGTGCAGAAAGGGGGATCAAGCCCAGTCCGAGGCTCACATCATATTTCAGTATGTGCGGGACGGCATGGTCGCTGTGTGCACAAGTAGCGTCCTGATGTCTGCAAAGAAGAAAGTAAGGCACCAACTGCCTGTCACCCCAGGCAGATGTAGGAGGGAGGCCTGCTGGAGGAGGCCAGGCTGAAGGAAGTCCTCATTGGACCTTGGCCGTCGCTGCAGCTGACTGGAGTCAGATGGCGGCTCTGAGCTGCTCTGTGTGTGGTGCATCCAACCCTGATGGCCTCCCAGGACCTGTTCTGATTTCTCACATGAGCCCTTATTGTCCGAGACAGAGGCAGGCCAGCCACTTACCAGGAGGAACTGGGCAAGGGTGCCATGGTCAGTGACGAGGAGCCCCACTGCAGCCATCTGCCTGCCTGAATCCATCAGCCAAACTGCTCTGTAGCCTGCCCTCCCCGACATGCTTCCCTTGCCCTACTTCGGCTCTCACGGGGGTGCAGTGCAACACAACTTTGTGAGGGACTGGTCAGTAGTGTTTTGCACGTGGACTCCCCATCTGGGGAGCAGATTCACAGTCCACTGGAACATAGGAGGCGCTGAGAAGAGTTTCCATAAATACACCTGTGACCACCCAGCATTCCAAGCAAGCACTGTACCCTCCAGGCTCCCTCTCGGGAAGCCCCAAAGAACCAACCCAAGTGTCCCTAGAACACTGTGAAAACACTCTAGAAGTTCAAAGAAAACCTATAATGAGGCAGAGAGGGGACGCGGTGACCTGAGAGCAGGCTCCCGGGAAGCTGGAGTGCAGCATCAGGGGAACGGGTACCCTTAGGATGCTTGTGCTCCTTCCCTCCTCCCCTCTGGCTGTGACCAGACTGGGGCACTGGCAAGGCCGCATCTGCTGGAGGTAGTGTCCTGGCACAGGGCTGTGACTGCTCTGCCACCCTATCACATCGTGGGTGGACCCAGGGCCTTCTCCATGGGAAGGAGACCCAACTCCAGTCCACCCTGGGATCCCACACAAGGCAGCCCAGGTAGATGGCCAGAGTGACTTACTGGGGCAGAGACTGTACCTTAGGCTTTAAACCCAAACCAGCTGTTCCTTACCGGGATTTTGCACAGAGGCTCAGCCCCAAGGAGGGCTAATCACAAAGGCTTCATTTTTCTCCACAACCGCCCACTGCGTATGAATCTCCTTGGCATTCAAAGCTGGAGTCTGCCGTCTGGGTCCCTTCATTTCCTATGATCCAACAGCATACAGCCCTTCCCGTGTGGCTACAGGGGCAGGAGGACAGGAAGAGAGGAGGCCCCTCTGGCTGGAACGGCCTTCCGTGCTCCTCAGGACCGCACCCTCTGCCCTTGAGGTCAGGGAGGCCAGTAGCTTCGGGCTGGCCTGCTCTGGGGGAACAGGGGGGCAGAGCTCCTGCGGACCAGGCCTTTGTGCAGGACTCACAGAAGCAGGGCCTGGTTGTCCGGCTGAATTGACTGGACACGGGCCATTGGCCTGGACCGTACCCATTCCTGTCACTTTGAGACTCTAGTGACATTGCCGCTAGGTACTTCATGCGCATCTGCTCAATTGAGTGCGGCACCCCTTCCAGGGCTGCTAGGCAGGAAAAGGTACCACAGACCTACATATATGAACCACCCCCCACCCCCTCACCCCCACTGTCCTGGATCAGTCAGGTCCTTGAAGACCTCAAAGTACGCCAAGGAAGCTGAGGGCCCGCTCTAAGAGAGCAGCACTGCTGGAAACAGGAAGCCAAACAGGAGTCCTGGAAGTCAGGGGTGAGGTTTGTACCTTCTTTCCAACGTCACAGCATCGCTGGTGGTTTCAAGAGCAAGGTCCCCCTGGCTCTACGATGAGTCTAGCAATGCGTAAAGGAATGGGGCACGAAGATAGGCATAACTGCCTGCAGACGCATGAGGGCCTATGGCAGGGGAGTAGAGGATTCGGGGTGGGGTTCCAGAATAATGGATATTAGGGGACCAGGAGAGGGTTCAGTTGGAGGGGGCAGGGGGAGAACCCAGGCAGAACGCTTTGGGAAATCCATGTGGTCTAATGGTCTACGCCAGCAGCGGTCTGGTAAGAGAAGCGGGGCCCAACATCGGCGGCTGGGTGGGGTGAGTGACTTGAAAGATTCTTTTCATGAGGGTGAAAGCCAAGAGCCAGAAGCTGAGGCGTGTTGGAATGCAGACAGGGTGGGGTTGACAAGCCACAGGGCACAGTAATCTCACAAGCAGTGGCTTGGCCTAGTGCCCCCTAAGGGGCCAGCTCCTGGCCAGTGGCAGTGCCTCGCTTCGCTGTCATCTCTAAGCCACCGACCTTCAGTGGACTCGGTGCTTCAAAGAGTCTAACGAGGGCCTGCGCTGAAGAGGCCTGCTGGTGTACCAGCTTTCATGGGCACCCCCCTTCCCGGCGCAGGAGATCGTCCCAACCACCCCTTCACCTGTGCCGTGGTTCTCAAACTTCATCCTCATTCTGCTGCCAGACTTGAGAAACACAGATGCAGGATCTCACAACGACCCCATGAGATAGGTTGGTTGCTCCGGTTCCCATCTTTCTGGTAAGGAAACAGGCTCAGATGAGCCAAGGAACATGTCCAAAGTAGGACAAGTTATAAGAAGTAACCTCAGGCCTTGCTTGGGGTCACCACACTGACAGGGGTGGGTTATAGGATCCAGGAAGGTGTAAATAGGAGAAAGGCATGAGCCAGCATCCCTCCCTACCCTGCTTTCTCTCCCTAGACACCGCCTGCCTGCCAGGCTCACCCCTACCCAAAATGGTTTCCTTTCACATCAGTCAACTGCTAGTTCTCCAAGGTTTCTTGCTTCCCTGAATCCCTCCTGTTAGCAAAGCGCCCCAGAGACCGTGATTCCTGGAAAGGACAGGCCCATACGTGGACCTGAAAGTCAAGGAGGTAGGGCTGCAGTACGACTTTCAAGGTCCCTTCTTCCATAAAAATGTTTTAAAATTCAAAAAAATTTTATCGTATGACTGTGTTGATATAAAGATGAATATATTAATACAGATATTAAAACATCCTTGATCTAAAAGTTCATTTATTTCTTCCAGCTTTAAAAGGAAACATTTTCATGGGTGGCAGAAAAATGTCCCTTCCAAAGATGTCCATGACTTCATCTCTGGAACTTGTGTTAGATTACATGGCAAAGGAAAATCAGGGTTGCAGACAAAATGTAGATTTCACATCATCTAACTTTTTAAAGATTTTATTTATTTGAGAGAGGGAGAGTGAGAGAATGAGCAGAGAAAGTGGCAGAGGGAGAGGGAGAAGCAGGCTCCCCCTCTAAGCAGGGAGCCTGATGTAGGGCTCGATTCAGGACCCTGGGATCATGACCTGAGCCACCCAGATGCCCCTAACTTTTTTTTTTTTTTTTTTTGGTTATACTTATCCATCTGAGAGAAAGAGAAAGCCCATGGGTGTGTGGGAGGTGAGCCAGAGGCAGAGTGAGAGAATCTCCAGCAGACTCCCAGGTAATTGAGGAGCCCCACATGGGGCTTGATCCCAGGACCCCTAGATCGTGACCTGAGCCAAAACTAAGAGTCTGATGCCCATCCCACTAAGCCAGCCCGGCACCCCATCATCTAACTTGAAAATACTGAGATTATCCATATCATCTGGGCAGCCCAATGTCATCACAAGGGTCTTTGAAAATGGAACAGGGAGGGACGCCTAGGGGGCTCAGCGGCAGAGCATCTGCCTTCTGCCCAGGGCGTGATCCTGGAGACCAGGGATCGAGTCCCCCGTCGGGCTCCTTCATGGGGCCTGCTTCTCCCCCTGCCTGTGTCTCTGCCTGTCTCTGTCTCTCTGATGAATAAATAAATAAAATCTTGGGATCCCTGGGTGGCGCAGCGGTTTGGCGCCTGCCTTTGGCCCAGGGCGCGATCTTGGGGACTCGGGATCGAATCCCACGTCGGGCTCCCGGTGCATGGAGCCTGCTTCTCCCTCTGCCTATGTCTCTGCCTCTCTCTCTCTCTCTCTCTGTGTGACTATCATAAATAAATAAAAATTCGAAAAATAAATAAATAAATAAACAAACAAACAAACAAATAAATAAATAAATAAAAATTTAAAAGAAAAAAAAAAAAAAGAACAGGGAACCAGAGGTGGTAGCCAGAGAGGTGGCAGCTCCAGGACTCATCTGTTCCTGCTTTTTTTTTTTTTTTTTTAACTGACACTTAACCTACAGCCCATTGCGCCCTTGCGGGCTTCTGACCCCCAGAACTGCAAATCATCAATTTGTATACGTTTGCGGTAGTTGTCATAATGGCAATGGGAACCCACACAACCGCTCCGGGCAGCCGGGCCCCGGGCCTGGGCCTGCATCCCCGCTCGGCGCTCACCGGCTGCCCGCGGCGCCTGCTGCGGGGGTCGGGCCGCGGCGCGGTAGGGGCTGCTTCCCCGGCCCCCCCCACCCCCCACCCCACGGCTCGAGAACTGAGGCCGTCAGTCCGCCGCGAGCGTCGTGCTCCCGGAGCCAGGGGGCCCGCGCGGCTCTTCCCCGCCTGTAACCGCCGGGCGAGCGGCCGCCAGGGGGCAGCAGAGGCCCGACCCCGCCCGCCCGCCGCTCGCCTGCGCCTGCGCGGAGCCCGGCGGCGGGGGACGGGAAGTGGGCGGGGCCGGCCGGGAGCGGCTCGCGGGGTCCGAGCGGCGGAGTAGCAGGTGAGGGCCTGGGGGGCCCGGGGGCGGGGAGGCCCGGGGCGCGGGGCCGGGGGCCCGCCGCGCTGGAGTGCGGCTCCGGTGGGCACCTGAGGCGTGCAGCGGTGAAGCGGGGCGCCGAGGACCCGGGGGCAGCGGAGCAGGGGGGCCGGGGGGCAAGGAGGCCGAGACGGAAAGACCCGGGGGGCTCCGCGGCCGAGGGGGGTGGCCGAGGAGCGGAGGGCGCAGTGGGGGGCCTGGGGGACCCGAGGCAGAGAATCGGAGGGCCGGGGCGGCCAGGGTGCAGAACCGGGGGGCCCTGGGCCGGCGGGGGTGTGGCCACGCCGCAGCCAGGTGGGCACCGAGCAGGCGAGGCAGGGATGCTGAGGGGTGACGGGCCCTGGGTGGCCCGCGGCCGAGCCCCCGTGCCGGAGCCTCCGGGCCGGCCGCTGCCCTGCCCCCGCCCCTGCCCCACCGGCGCCTGCACCTTTGCGGGGCCACATCTCTGCCCACGTGCCCCGACCCACGGCCCGTGCCCCGCGTGGCCCCCTCCTCCTCCAAGTGATTGCAAGCGGGCGATGTAGTTAAGGCCAGTGCTTGGGCTGCCGCAGCTTCAGCCTTAGGTGTGAGCTGGAGATCTCGGGCCGGAGGTGACTCCACCGCTGGAGGCTCTGTGGCCCCGGCAAGCCCCTTAGCCTCTGTGCAATAGGGAAAACTGGCACCTGACTGTAGGGATTTTAATGCAGGGCCTCACAGTAGCCGGGACTAGTTGATGGTGAGGGACTCCTCCCCCCAGCCTCCACCCAGCAGCACACTTGGCCCCGGTGACACTCGTCCTTGTGGGATTTCCTGGAGCAGGTCTGTGGGCTGAGCTGTACTCCCACCCTGGGAGATAGAATGTAAGGCCAGCCTCTGAGGTCCTCTCTAGCTCACTGCTGGCCTTTTTTTTTTTTTTTTTTTTTTTTTAAGATTTATTTATTTCAGAGGGGAGGGGGCAGAGGGAGAGAGAAACCCCAGCGGGCTCCCCGCTGAGCCCTGCACTCTGGGCTCCACCCCAGGGCTCAATCAGCCTCACAACCCGGAGATCACGATTCCAGCGCAAACCAAGACTTGCACGCTCAACCAACCGCGGCCACCTCGGCGCCTCTCTTCTGGCCTCTATGCCCGTATCTGGCCTGTTGTCAAATCTCATTCTTTTCCTCCCACCACCAAGCTGGAAGTACCAAAGGCTTGAGAAGACCTCATGTGAGTCTGGCTTTGCCATTTCCTACCTGTGGGACGTTAGGTGGGTTCCTTACCCTCCCCAAGCCTATCTCTGCGTCTGCAATGTGAGCTAAGAGCTCGTACCTCTCAGAAGGGTTGTGCAAATACCACTTTGAATACCACTTTGGAAGCTGTAAAGCCGCTTACAAGTACATTTGTAGAATTCCTTTGCGATATTGCCTGAGGCCACCCCTGTCTGTAAAAGCTTTCTCCTCTGATCAGTCTTCCACAGACTATCTTCACTTCCTCTTGAAGGTGCCAGGCCTCAGGCTGCTTATCACAGCCCATACCCCCCACTGGCAGTGGCAGGAGGCGGCCAGCCTCTTCCCTCTGCCATCACCCTTGCCAGCCACCAGGCGCAAAGGGCTGTGCTAATGCCTCAGAGGACAGGGGTGGCTTCCTGACTTGGGGAGTGTGGTATCTAGTGAGAAAGTAAGCTCCTAAAACGGGCTGTTTGCACAACAGTGTGAACGTGCTTCATACCACAGAACTGGAGACTGAAAAATGGACAGAATGATAAATCGTATGTCACATGTATTTTACATAAATATTTTAAAAAGAAGAAAGATACGTGTGTAGAAAAAGATCTGGAAAACTTACACCATATTCTTCCCAGGGGTTACTTATGAATAAAGAAATAAGATCCTCCGTTTACAGAAACATTTTTAATAAGGAAGGCAATACGGTTATAACGATGATGCAGTTTCCTTTCTTAAGAATTGCTGTTTTTTGCTTTACGCCTGGGTTCCCAGGTCAAGCAGGACTCCGAACAAGTATTTGTCCATACCTCTCGGCAGAGGCAGTTGGGGCCCTTGGGTGGTTCAGTCGGTTAGGCGGCCAACTCTGGATTTTGCTTGGGTC